TTTTCTTCTTCCCCCTATCAAACACCTGTATTTTTCCCTTCTCTACCTTCCAGATCCATATGCACCCATACATACAGGGGGAATTAGCAGATCATAGTAAACTGTGTGCGCACTGGAAAAGGGCATGAAGTAGCTAAAACTCAATCTGCTGTGTTGGTACTACTGTGTTGCTTTATCTCACACTGACGGAAAATTGAGAGCAGGTACACTTGTCACTGCTGTGGGCCAGGAGATGGGTAATAATTTGTAAACTTGGCTTGTGTATTTGAGCTCTTCACACGGTAACTTTTCCCTTATCCAGATGTCCTGTAAAATGTGATCATCAAGTCATACAGCTCTGTGCAACATGTATGTACTTTAGTCACATTAATTCTTCAAAGATACCAGAATGTGTTAGGAAGGTAATTAAACACTTTGCTCACTCTCTGCTGTTTTGTAGGGAAAGCTACTTCTTTTTCCTAAGTGCTTTCTAAGTATCCTCTAATGGGTGATTCAAGACTGGAAAGACTTTCAAAACATTTCTTGGTCTTCAGCCAAGTCGTGACTATTATCCTGAAATACAATTCCTTACATAATCCATTTTTTATCTGATGGGAAGTTCTTGCTAGAACACTGTGTCTCCTATTAACTAGCTGATGTTATATTTCTCTGCCTTTGAAGCATGACTTGCCTTTTTGTAGCAAACTCAGTCCAAGCCTTGTCCATTTGCTGTATTTCAGCTCATCGCTAGTGCAGCCAGAGTTCACTGCAGTAGCTTTGAAAGGCAGTAACTTTGAGGGGACTCTTTCTGGGCAGAACTTTTGGATGGCAAGGACGTTGTTCCTCAGTTATTGCTGTTCGATCTCTTCAAGCACCACCTTGTGGTTGAACTTATTTTAGGCATGTAAAGTTGTCATCAAAAATTGCACTGTGCCATGTAGTGAGGCTAAAAAGTACTTCAGGAAAGCCTCTAGTTCATCCCTGAGCCACATGCCACATGCACAATTCACTGTAGCTGTGTCTCTCCTGAGAGATACCTTAACCTATCTTCCCAAGCCTCTGGAGATGGAGGAACCACTCCTCTCTGGCAATCTGTGCCAGTATCCACTGTTCACACCATTAGAAAAGCTTCACCGATGCCTAAGCTGAATCTTTCTTACCCCCACTGAAACTATTTCCTGAAGTCTGCACCGGTGGACTAGGTCACTTCTTTCTTCTTTTCAAAGGCCTTTTAAATCTGAAGACTTTTTAATCACACTTCTACTAAGACTTGCCTTTTCCTTAGCTGAACAACTTTGATTATTTGTGTTGCGCTTTCTGACTATTCTTGTTGCTCTTCTGTTGGTTTAGATGCTCTTGAAGTGGGACACAGTGCTTTAGCTTAGGTCTCATCTAGGATGACTAAAGCAGAGGTGCATTATATATCTAATCTCTTATTACATCCCAGTACAGTGTTTGCTGCTTTCACACAAGTGTGGCATTGCTTACTCAGTTCTGTTTAATATCTATTATGAACCTTCTTTTTCAGTGTAACTGCATAACAGCACTGTTTTTTCCAGACCAATGTCCGAACTGTATCAGATTTTAACCTCACTCTCCAGTGTATGTGCAGTCCCTTCCATCCTGAAATCTCCTTCAGAATCAGTGTACATCCTACTTCATCCCCTGTTAATATTTAATGTTATCCGATGGGATATATTCTTGAGAATGCTGCTAATGCTCTGGCATTAGTGCCAGCTTGGCTTTGCTTCACTGATAATTGCTTTAAAAATGTACTTTTCCAACTGGCTTTGCACCTATTTTGTAAGAATTTAATCTTCCCTTTGCAGAAGAGAGCATTTTATGAGGCAGTCTTACTAAAGTAAAGGGTTTGCAAATCTACTTTTCCTTCCTTAATCTACCAGTGTTGCAACCTGGTCATGGGAAAAAAATTAAGTCAGTGTGGCATGATTTGTTCTTTGTTAATATACATCATGTGTGACTGATCCTCCTGTTCTTTTCCAGGCACTTACAAATGGGCTTTTTCTAGGAAGACAAGTTAAGCTAATATGTCTATATTTTTTCAGCTCCTTCTTTTCCCATATTTCTAGGTTTTGCTGCCTTCCTTAGTCCCAGTGAGTTGTCAGAGATGGCTGCTGATGGTTCCAAGATGGCTGCAGCCCTCTTTAAGTTCCTTCAAACTTTTCAAGTTCCTGCATGAAATTCTACAAGCCCAGCCAAACTGAAAATAGCAAATTTAACTCATAGCTAGTTTAATACTCATCCTTCTTTTTTCTCTTCATGCTTAGATTTTACTCCTGTCACTCTGTTACTTAGGATATTAGCTGTTTCTCTGCCACTAATCTTTCTAAGTCAATCCATGTATCACTAATGAACACTGGTACAAAAAATAAACCAACGGTTTCTGGCCTTCTTGAATTATCTGTCAATACATTTTCCTCTGTTGAACAGCAGATCAACACTTCTTGTTTTATTTGTATTACTACTCATGAACTTGTGGAATATCTTTTGTTCCTCTAGTATATATTGTATGTCTGGTTAGTATTGTTTCTTTAAGTAACTTACCAGCTTTCTTTAACTCCTTTTACCTTACATGTGCTCTCCCATGACCTGCTTCAGGAATTCAGCTATCAGTGTTCAGGCTTTAATGAAAGTTTTCTTCCTAGTCCATTGTTTCTACTTTGATGTTCTTACTTCCTCCTCTGAAGTTCTGACACTGGATCAATTCATGATCACCCTAACCCAAGTTACCTTCTGTCTTTGCAGCTGATCATTCCTTATTGGTCAAGATCAAATGAAAGTGAACAAGCAGCTTTCCTGCTGCTTTCTGTGCATTCTTGTGCTGTGTCTTAGCTTTTACCTTGGGTTTTTTCTGTACTTCTGGATTAAATCAGATTTCTTCTAAATGCTCTCTTTTATTCTGTTTTGATTAGGTTGGAGATTTATTGACAATTTTTCTCACCTATTAGTTTTATGCATTTTTGTTGGAGCTTAATGGAAACTCTAAAGACAAAAAATGTGCATTCATTTTCACTAGCCTATTGCTGTAAAAGTCTCGTATTTTTTGTCTTACACATTTTATCTCTCCTTTGAAATATATTCCTAACTGGAGTTAAAATTTGGAAGATGGATTGAATATATTGAGCTTTATTGATCTAAAATATTATATTTTAAGAATGCAGAATTTAAAAATAATTTTCATCATGACCTCTGTGCCAATTTAGCCAAGCATATAAGTGTATATTTACCTTCAGTCTCATTGAACTTGATGAAGACTTGAAATCATTTTAAAAGAAAATGGAAGAAAAATTAATATTCTGAGTGATATCACTGACTTCATTATTTATATACCTGCCTGAAACTGTTATTCGATGGTTTTGTTTCATTAGAGGCATTTTTCAAAAGATTCTTGCTATTCTTAGCATGCTTTAACTGCAAACGTAGACTGTCTAAAGCACGCTCCACACAGTTGCAGAAACTGAGAAATATCAAGGGATGTAACACTGCCCTTCTGGTGGGACAGAAAGGTTTATAACTTAAATGAGTCTTCAAAAAATTGTTGGCTTATTAATGAGAAAAATCAGGAATCCCAATTTAATTGTATTGATTTGCCTTTTCAGAGACTTCTTATGAGGTATGAGTAAAAATAAAAACCCATTTGTGTTGTTTCTGATATACAGGCTTCTCTGTTAATATTATCTTATCTTTATTGATTTCCATCATGTGCTTCCCTCATTTTCCCCTTCCTGGCTGACCTATAGTCTCCTGGTACATTTGTAGCTGCTAGCACTGTTTGATTACCACAAGGACTTTGTCACACCATTAAAAACCTGTGGGAGCTAATGAACAGATACCCAGCCTAAGAAAACTGATACCTGGTAATGCAGCAGTAACATGGCATGTGTTTCACCATATTTCCAGCCTTCCTGTCCTGCTTTTACTGTATGGGTGTAAGGGAACCGTGGCTGCAATGGGCTGAAGTGCAAGGTCTTGCCCTTGTGGGACACCCATGTGATTGGCATGATCTGTCTTGTCAGCAAGTCCAGAACACCAGCCAAATTCAGCCCTCATGTCATGTCTCCTGGCATTTCACACTAAAAGTAAATTTGGTCTATGCTGTGAAGTACCAGTCCCTACAAAGCAAAACAACTTCCAGTCACTGAGGTGGCTGTTCAGTTTTGTTCTTCGCCTCCATTTCTACTGTCCTTTAAGCCTTGGCTTTCCTTTTTCCTCTGTGCTGTTCCAGGTGCTTCCTGTTTCCCCTCTCCTTTCACCTGTTCATTAGGTGCGTGTTTTCCCATTTCTCTCACCCCGTTCTCTGCTGCTCTCTTGTAGAGCCCTGGTAATATTCCCTTTCACTCTTCACTTTGGAGAACCAAGTCACCTGCTTTACTCTTTTATATTTTCTTCACCAGTCCCTCTGTGAAAGTCCTTGCCCAGGTCTCTGTGAGTGGCCTGCATGCTCTTGGGTTTCAGAGAGTGGCTACAAAGGGGTTGCCAGCTAGGCCAGATGATTGTTTAGAAAAGACAGCGGCAGCAGAGCTCTTCCTTCATTCGTGGTTCTTGTGCTATGCTGTAACGTAGAAGGGGGCTGAATAGAAAAAGGTGCTGAAGGAGGAAGGAGTTTCCATGGTAGGAGACTGAATGGCAGAGGCAGCCATGTGTGGTGGAATGTTCTTATACCCACTGTGGGTTGAGAGCTAGCAATGCCTGTGTAGCCTTAGATCTGGTGTGATGTTTGGCCACTGCATACTTCATTAGTAATTTATAAAGTATAACATGTATTTGTTATTCATCTTCACATGTCATTGCCACTGTTTTAATTTGCTGAGCATTAAAAGCCAAGTTTGTCTTTAGAATGTCTTCAGAGAGCTTTTTCTACTCGCATTCCCTGGGCAGAGCTTGGACTTACATATTATTCTTTGTTTTTACAGCTTCTTTGTTCAGTTTTTTATTTTAGCCTTTATTTTATTTTACTGCTCAACCTTTAAAAATATATTTCGTTTCATTTTATTTTTCAGACACCTCTTATTGAACCTCACATCCCACATCGTTCTACTAAAACCATTACACAGGTAATAGGACATAGGTGTGCTGTAGAGCCAGGCCGCTAGACAAATGAAAATAACTCCTATTTCCAACAGTGTGATGCATATCAGCTGAAGTGATGCTTTCTGTTAGATGTGATAAATCTGTGAGACTTAAAATCCTGAACATATGCTACATTGCCCTGCAAAAATAAGCATCTGTACAAGGGCTTTTAATTTAGGGAAAAGAGAACTTGTGTTTTGCTTTGCAGAAGACACTGTAGAGATTGCAGAATGTTTAAAATCTGTGTGTCTTGATCCCTTTTTTTTTCTCCATGATCACCAAGGTTCCTTCAGAAAAGATCCTCAGAGCTGGAAAGGTTTTGCGGAATACAATTCTGTCCCGAGCCCCTCACATGATAAGAGATCGTAAATACCATCTGAAGACTTACAGGTGTGTGAGCTGATTGTACAGAGGTCTCTGAATTTTTATGCCTGCCATCCTCTGATTTGTGACTTATGCCTTACTGTACTTGCAGGTCTCAAAAGGTCTGAAATTATGCTGTGATTCTATTTCAGTCTGGATATTATGCAGTCTTTAATAGGCCTAGTAAATCTTTTCTGAAGTAATTTGAATGGAAATAGAGTCCATGATTGTGAACAGAGCATTCACATACATAAACTCTTCCAAAGTTAACAGCACAGTTAGCTGGAGTATTCCGTGCAATATCAAGTTAAAATGTAGATTCTGTTCTCTTCTTATATCAGTAAGAGATAATAGGAAAGTTCATTAATCTATTATGTTATTGTATGGATTGCTGCAGCGGTGTTGCTCAGTGTGGAGTTCTGAAAATTAACCTGGTGAGCGACATTCCTTGTGTAGATTTTCTGCTTTTTAAAATGATTTTTTTCAGTGTATTGCCAGGCTTTCTTGTCTTCCTGCTGGTGGCAGCACTGTATTGCTGAAGTGGGATAACAATTGCTCTTGCAGAATAGGAATCTTCAAGGAATCAGGCTCTATCTACTGTTGACTTAAGAAACAATCAATTTGTTTTAGTGTCTAATATTTAAATCAAGTATCTAAATAAAATTGCTTTAAAATCTCCAACTATGTCTTTTCCTAAAGAGTAAATCAGGATGCTGCTGATCCACTTTTGAGATAAGTGCATTGATTTTCCATATTTCAGCCCAAAATGTTTAATATGATGCAAGATACTTGGATCTTGTGAATTGATTTGAGAATATATCACAATATGACATTGCTCAGTGTTCTAGAAAAAACAAAAGAGCATGTATGACAAATGAAGACCAGTGCTGGTCCAGACAACTGCACCTGCAGTTTTTATCTTGTAGATAACTGGGAAAAACTCTTATTGTTCTATCCTTGAGGTTTTAAAATGTGGAATGCTAAAATGTCAGTTGCACCCAGGTGAGGGGAAGTTTTGTTACCAAAATGGGATTTTAATTGAAAGAGCATTATTCGAGATAATTTTCAGTAATTTCAGTATTGTGTATTTCCTTGGTCTCTGGAAGCGATGCACAGAGTGGAGCCACAAGAACTATAAGGACTAACCAGCTTCCCCTCTGTTCTGCATGTGATCAGTTATAGATTTGTAAGTTTTTGATCACATTGCTTATTTGCTTCTGTTCTTTTGAGCTGGGGCATGTTATGATAAAGAATTTTACCTAGTGACCATGTGGCTTCTTGGTTTTTTCCTTCTCTTTGGGCATTCTCCAGAGCTTAAGGCCTGCTGTTGTCTGCCTCTGCGTCAGTTGAGCTGTGAGGTGACAAACACCTAATGGTGAGAAAGCCTCCGAAACACTGCAGACCTCCAAACCAGTGCTCCCAGATACAGTGTGGCTAGAGTTTGGTTACAAAGAGAGGAACACCCTCATAACCTCAGTCTGCCCCTGGAAGCTGTTCTCATCGGCTAAGCTTTTACAGGGTTAGATTATTGTTTTCATGCAGAACTCTGAAAAGCGTAAGGCTTTTGCTATCCCATGGTGTACAGAGGTTTTGCTTGAAATCTGGGTTGGAAGTTGGTGCAGTGGTGCAACAGGTTTTGTGCCATGTGGCACAGGCTCACCGTGATCCTCTGAACTTTGCATTTCCTAAAACTCTTCTCATACTGAGATAGTTCTCTCAAGACTGTACACCTTCACTGGTATTTCAAGCATGTATGCATAGATGATGGCATTGTGTTTTCTGTAGGGAGATTTGACTAAGGTTATATGAAGTTTAAGGTATTGCTGTTCTTGGCAGACACTGTGTGTGATCTCTTTTGGCTAGTTCTCTTCATTTCTATTTGTCCTTCAGGCAATGCTGTGTGGGGACAGAACTAGTTGACTGGATGATGCAGCAAAGTCCTTGTGTCCATTTACGAACCCAGGCTGTTGGCATGTGGCAAGTATTGCTGGAAGAAGGTGTTTTGAACCATGGTAAGAAAAACAGCATCTTCACTAAAACATGGGCAATGTGTGATATCAGTGCCTCTGTAGATCTCTTTTATGAAAAAGAAAGGAATCATGACCCCAAAAGAAATGATGTAGAGCAGCCTTTTCATTTATAAGTGCAAGTGCAGAGACAGTATTACACGAGTCTTGCTACCAATACACCTTTTTAGCTTATGAGAATAATGAAATGTAAATGAACAGTTTATAATGATAATTCTAATTATACTCTAATTATATTGGCTTGTGCTTATATAGCAAGAGCTTGATATCACTCAGGCCAAACCCAACAGATGTATTACCACACACAAAACTGATCTTCATTGAAGATTTGCAACATTTGGAAGTGAATGCGAGCATTTGTACTTGCTCAGATCCATGATTTTGAAATGGTTTTCAGTGGTTTTAGAATGGTTCCCAATTTCAACACTTCAAATGCACTCCCAGAGCAGAGACCTGGGATTTCTAGTTTTCTAACTGTATTTTACATTGACTTTCAGTTTCCATTTGGCAGGATTTATTTGGTAACAGGATATTATAGCCCTCAAAAGGACAGCTTTCTGAAGTAATATTCATACTTGGAGCTTTGTATGTGCAGTTTTATTAAATTCAGAAGAGCAGCTCTGTTACAGTACACTTTGATTTATCCTCTGTTGTGCTTCCCATATCCCAGGGAGAAGTTTCCACACTGAGAAGACAGACTGTTTCCCCACTTTCCTTACTGTAAGGGCTGTAGCTTTAATTCCTGCCAAATACTCCCTTGAGCGTCCAGGGGCAAGCTGCAGCAAGCTGCATCACAGTATCCAACACATCACTCTGATGTGCTTGGAAGACCAAGGGTTTGTCCATCACTATAACATAGCCTTTCTTTAGAATTCTTCTCTTGGTAGTCTTTCCAGCAAGTTCTTCCACCAAAACAGAGGTCAGTGAACTTGCCCCTAGGATTATATCTTGATGATGTATATTTCTGGTACGTCAGGAGTTTAGATGCTTTTGTTACCTTTTAACCCTGTCTGAAACATGCGGGGGGAGGTCTTCATGCTATAGAACACCTCTTAGAAGTTCATGATGTAACTGTCCCCCAGTATAAATTGTTTGCTTAGATGAAATGGTTTGAAACAATAAGCACAAAACCATATCGGATAAGGAACACCCCCCCCCCCCCCCCCCCCCACGCACACACAGAGTTATGTATCCACACCCATGATATATAGCAACCTTTTGGAGAGTATTTGTGGTACACAATTTAAAAGTGTACCCTTCAAGCTACATAGTTTGGACGTATGTGAGAAGTGAAGGTGTTTCATGCTCTTGCAGTTTCTCTGTAGTTTTCTTTCCCTTCTTAACTCAAAGATCTGTGACATATACGATGCTACATAGATTTCTACAAAGTTAGTTTTCATGAGGAGAGCTTAGTGTTTGATATATTATGTTGTTTCAGTGGATCAGGAGCACCACTTCCAGGACAAATATTTATTTTACCGATTTTTGGATGATGAGCATGAAGATGCGGCTTTGCCAACTGAGGAAGAGAAAAAGGAGTGTGATGAGGAGCTACAGGACACTATGCTGCTTCTGTCTCAGATTGGGCCAGATGCTCATATGAGGATGATTCTCAGAAAACCGTAAGGAGATTGAGGAATTAATATTATACATGGGCTTTCCTTGTGAAACAAGAGAAATCTACATTTATTAACAGGCATCCTTTGGCCAGTTATTTCACTTCAGTGGCAGTTTGTTCACCTCTGAAGTTTTTAAGTCCATATTAAGTAATTTCCAGTCCTTATTAATGCTTATAAGTTGAACTGTATATTGAGAATAATCATGAAAAGCCATCAATACCATTATACTCACCTTGAAGAAAATGCTGCACTATGAGCTTTTATGTTATTTCTGAGTCTCCCTAGAAGTAAGTTGCAGGTAATAGAAGAGTCCTGCTCTATTAGCGCTGCCTGTGTAGACATGGCATACAATTAACTATGCTCCTTTCAGTTACTGTGAGTGGTAGGATGGCAGCATAGTAGGTACCTTTCAATTACAGTTGTCAGTGGCAGCCATTAATTAGATTCATCCTTGGTAGAACTTTATTGAATTAAGATAGGCTGGACTTGGCCTGATGTAGTTTGCTGGCAAGGTGTGCAGTGTGGCTTTGTGGGTTTATTTATTCATTCTTACTGCTATAAAATAAATACATTAAAAGAAAAAAAAATGCTTTCTGCACCTAGGCCACATAGGACGCCAGCCTAACCTTTTCATAGGTATCAGATCATGTCCTCTCATAGGCTGGCTAACCATTCCTTCTGCAGTACATTCTGATCATACTGAAAACTGTGCTAAAGGCCTTTTTTACAGGGAACTTTATAGTGACTTCAAAGCAATCGGTATAAACTCTGTTTGTCTCTTTGCTTTGGTTGTTGAAGGCAACATCTTCATTATGCAGGTAGCATTTAGAGGTCACTGAAGGCATACTTTACTGCTGATTAAGCACACTAAAAATGATTAATTACTTAAACTCATCTTCACCGAAGACTTACTTTTAAGGGTCAGTTCAAGAAAGATAAGTTCAAAAAGCTGGATCCTGCTTCTTTGAGGCCGGTGGTAATGTTTGTCTTTGCCATGGGGTAGGATTGAGCCCTGCCTAAAGTGTGAGAACATTTTTTATACTAAAAATATTTTGAAACCACTTAACACAATTTCTTGCTCTTTTCTGTTTCCACTTTTATCCTTTCTGTGTTCCATTCTTGTTCCTGTGTTGTCTCTTTAGATCAGAAGCTCATTTAGATGGCACTTTTCCAAAAACTCACTATACAGTGACAATGCTAAAAGCTTTGAATGTCAAAAATTGCCATCAGATACTTGTGCTTATAAAAATAAGTTACACTGCTATGCAAGAATAGTTTTAAAAGCGTAAATCCTGTTTCCTCTGTTTATTAGAGGTCTAGTCAAATACAACCAAAGAAGCACTCACTCTGTGTCACACAAAATACATGGACAAACCAGACTGGGAGCATGGTGCTTCCATAAACACTTATGGTGTCAGGGAACTGTGGTGTTTTCTCTTCATAGACATGTCTTGTGCATTCTCCACTGAGGAGTGAAAGAGGGCACTTGGACCCTAATGACCGGTGCCTGCCTGAGTAGGCAGACACCGGTCATTAGGAAACTGTGAGCAGTGCTATGTATGCTGTGACCCTTTACCTCTGCACTACCTCCTTTGTTTCAGGCTGACTGAGCAGGTTGCTACTTGGAGAATTGCCTCCTTAGGTTATCATGGGTTTTGGCTGCCTGCTACACTTGCTTTTCCTCATGGCTTTCAGAGCAGCTTGTGTTAAGTTTACCCTGGCAGGATCAGTGTTGATTATCAGCTACACTGCTTGCAGAGAGCTGAAAGGCTAGAATGGTGCTGTGGAAAGTACTGCTCTCCCCTCTTGTCGTCACTTGCACAGCATCATCTGAAAGAATATTCATAGGAGATTTTTCATGCAATATAGTGAGGGGAAGGAGGTTTTCTCAAGACTGACAGCCATCTGACATCTTTCCCTATCCCTGTCCCTGAAAGTGCTTATTTTTGCTGCCCTTTGCTCATGGAAGCAAGCTTGTACTGCCAGGCACTATATTAACTACTGTTCTAGTATTCAATTTATATGTGTTATAGAATCATAGAATCATAGAATAGTTAGGGTTGGAAAGAACCTTAAGATCATCTAGTTCCAACCCCCCTGCCATGGGCAGGGACACCTCACACTAAACCATGTCACCCAAGGCTCTGTCCAAACCGGCCTTGAACACCACCAGGGATGGAGCATTCACAGCTTCCCTGGGCAGCCTATTCCAGTGCCTCAACACCCTTACAGTAAAGAATTTCTTCCTTACATCCAATCTAAATTTCCCCTGTTTAAGTTTTAACCCGATACCCCTTGTCCTGTCACTACAGTCCCTAATGAGGAGTCCCTCCCCAGCATCCCTATAGCCCCCCTTCAGATACTGGAAGGCTGCTATGAGGTCTCCACACAGCCTTCTCTTCTCCAGGCTGAACAGCCCCAACTTTCTCAGCCTACCTTCATACAGGAGGTGCTCCAGTCCCCTGATCATCCTCGTGGCCCTCCTCTGGACTTGTTCCAACAGTTCCATGTCCTTTTCATGTTGAGGACACCAGAACTGCACACAATACTCCAGGTGAGGTCTCACAAGAGCAGAGTAGAGGGGCAGGATCACCTCCTTCGACCTGCTGGTCACACTCCTTTTGATGCAGCCCAGGATACGGTTGGCTTTCTGGGCTGCGAGCACACACTGAAGCTGGCTCCTGTTCATTTTCTCATCGACCAACACCCCCAAGCCCTTCTCCACAGGGCTGCTCTGAATTTCTTCTCTGCCCAACCTGTAGCTGTGCCTGGGATTGCTCTGACCCAGGTGTAGGACCTTGCACTTGTCATGGTTAAACTTCATGAGGCTGGCATCAGCCCACCTCACAAGCGTGTCGATGTCCCTCTGGATGGCATTCCTTCCCTCCAGGGTATCAACCGAACCACACAGCTTGGTATCATTGGCAAACTTGCTGAGGGCGCACTCAATCCCACTGTCCAAAGTTACGTATTTTGTCATGAATTTTGTTAGTTGAAAATCCACCCTGGGCTAAGCTGTATCAAAACTGTCAAAATCTCCATGAATACTCAGAGTCCTGCTAGTTTTGACTCGACACTCTTAAAGCTGCCAAAAGTTCATGGAATTGTCAGGGCTCTACCTGAGCTGAGCAGGACCCCCAATTTTCAAACCAACACAGCTGCATTTTATAATAGTCGCCATTTCCAGAGAGGTTGCAGAACTCAGATAATTACCCTGAAAGAAATAAGACAATATTCTTTGATGAGAAGATTACTTTGTGAATTTGATTGTATAATGAAGCTGTTGCTTTGAAAGGTACTTTCTATTGTTCAAAATCTGAAAATCTCTAGCAAAAAGTGTCACTTGTTTTGACAGCTGACTTAAAAAATTCTCTGTTTATTACATTAACTGCAGCATTTTAACTGTCAAACTGTGAAAGAATGTTCTATAGTTTAAAAAACAGAATAGAGCTCAGGGAAATTTTTGGCAGGCTCTTGTTGCTATTGGGTGTCTTTTTTTTTTCTTTGGAAACACATACACTGAATGTGAAAATAGCTTTTTATGAAGCAGCAAACACAGCCCTCTGCTCCTTATAATGGCGGGAGCACAGGTGCAGACCTTGAGCAAGTCCCTGGAAAAAATGTTGTAGAACTAACAAAGCTCTTCCATACAAGTTTTGCAGTCTTTCAGTATGAAAATTCATCCTGAAGACATTTTTTCTAGTTATTTTTATTTTATTTTAATGGTGTTCAGATACAGCTAACTTGATGGTAAATCCTAATTAAAAAGGATGCTATAATACAAAGCTAAACACAGTAATAACAGGAGTGATTAAAGGGAGAATGATATTCCGCAGACAACAGTATGTAACTCAGATGATGTTATGGATTATATTCTTTTTCTGTAGTCTAGGTTACAGTAAGTTAGCAGTATGACTGAAATAATAAATCTGTGTTATATATTCTTGGTGACTTCACTCAGCAGATATTTTTTCTCAGTAGAAAGTGTGATTCGACATGTGATCAGTAATCAGATTTTAGTGTCACTTGCAGAAGTAAGCTTGACAGGATGCTAGGGAGAGGAAGTGAAAACAAATCTAAACATGGTAAACAGCTCAAAATATGTATGTAATAAAATAGCAATTTAATTATTGCGAACAATCTATCACTTCTTGAAGGTCTCCTAAAAATTAAGCAAGATATATTTATTCTCTCATTTTTTAAATTTTTTATTTAGATGTTCCATGCAGCTGTAAGTAGTAAGAAGCACATTGGATTTATTCATAATGACTGTTCGAAGTTCCATAGTTCTTGGTGGAGTTTCGTGCCAATGGAATTTAATAAACCAAGTGTTACTCGTAGGACAGGAAACATAGATTGTCTTTCCATATATGAGTTCACTAACATTTATGGGTACTATATGTGGTAAATGGTATTTCTGGAGTTAATCAAGGAGCACTGATGCAAGTACAAAGCACGTAACTAGCTTCCATGCTAGGGTAAGTGTACATTCACACTCAGACACAGGTAGTGTGTAAAATTTTTTGTGTCAATTATATATTCTTTATGGTGTTTGAAAACAAAATTTGCACTCTGGAAATGTATGCTTATTTGATGCATAATCACGGTGTTATGAGGTCTCTGATCTTTTCCCTTGTTCTTACTATGTGGAATTTTCTGGTTAGCTGCATAATAAAATTAATGATATTGCTTCTACATACATGGCTTATCGATGGCAAAGTACTATGTTATAGTCAACATCCTAGTCACAGAGAAGTTCAGTGTCTCTGACCTTGATAAATTCTCCAAACACTGAACAGTTTTTATTGATCACTTAATATCACCTGAGTTCTCCTGTCTATTAATGTGTAGCCTTGTTCTCTACCTATTCCATTTATTATCCTGTCTGTAACCGGCTATTGCTATTAGAGTGTGTCCCCTGCAGAAACTAGGTCTTTACACAGCAGGATCCTACAAATCAACATCAGTGGGGCACCACGCACATTTTACAGAAGCAGTGATGCCTAATATCTCTCCATGTGACATCTGCAGGAGCAAAAGTAAAGACTGGGTACATCCACTATAGATTGTCAGTTCTCCCAATGTGCTAACACAGGAGGCAAATGGACATATTGAAAGAAGAGTGTACCCTTTTGTCATGATAGAGATCTGATGTAGTAAGACATCACCCTTTTATGTTTTAATATAGAAATTTGTTAATTTGTTGCACTATGTTTTACATTTCTAAGACATGCTGTTTTTGCAAGCATGTAACAAAATTAAAGTTGTTATTTCCTATGGGGAGTATTTTTTTAAATCCTTACCTTGTATTTCTTTAATCTTCAGTGAAAGGTAGCTAGTACTGTCTTACCTTTTTTTCTGTATATAATTAAGCTGCTACTGCCCCGCATAAATCACCAGGAGTGGCAGCCTTACCATTTCAAGCCAGATTTAGAAATAGTAAAGAGTATTTTGAGTCACTAGAGGGCATAGCAGTACCAAACCAGTTTCTGTTTCTCCTTCAGCAGTTCATTGCATTCTGTATGAGAAAAGAATAATCCAATGCCTAAATTGGTCTTTAAACTGGGTAATAACAACTGCACGTGATTGGTAAGTGATGAACAGATGGAGAACATAGCTTGCTTAGCAAAGAAAATGTCAGTTGTCCTTAATGTTTTCTATGACTTCTTCAGTACTTTTTCATCCAAAAGAAGTCTCCAACAAACTTCTTTTGTAAAAAGGTTCAGTATAACTCTGGAATCAGATGATTCCTGGACACTCTTTCTACCTCACACATGATTTAGGCAGACTCTTGAATCAAGACGTGATTAGGCAGAAAGCCTGTAGAGCACTATATTTCTTTATACTACTTTCCTGATCCTACAATATTGACATTTTAGGAGGAAAACTTCTGTCAGAAAGGTTCATTGTGATGTTTCTTTTAGGGCTGTCCAAAGACTCAGCTCTTGACTGTACACATTGGAAATAGTGGGGTTTGGAACTGCACACTATCCTGTTCTTAATGTGAGCATGTAAACTTTCTCCTTTGAAACTCCTGCCCCTGGACTGACTTCCTTTATGCCGTTTCCTCACGTCTTAAATTTAACCTCTCTCCCTTCTTGTGACTAGTTTGCTCTTCTGTTCTTGGACATGAATTACTTACTTACATTCTGCTTTTCACAAACCTAAAATCCCACTGGCTGGTAAAAGGGAAACATAACCCTCATTTTTAAAAAGGGAAAAAAGGAAAACCCAGGAAACTGCAGGCCAGTCAGTCTTACCTCTGTGCCTGGCAATATCATGGGGAAGATCATTCTGGAAACTGTGCTAAGGCACATGGAAAATAATGGGTGACAGCATGGCTTCACTAAGGGCAAATCATGCCTCACTAATATGGGGGCCTTCTGTGATAGGGCCACTGCCTTGGTGGATAAGGGAAGAGGAATTCATGTTATCTAGCTGGACTTGTGCAAAACTGGAAGAAGATAGATTTAGATTAGATCTAAGGAAGAAATTCTACCCTGTGAGGGTGGTGAGGAGCTGGCACAGGTTTCCCAGAAAAGCTGTAGTTGGCCCATCGCTGGCAGCGTTCAAGGCCAGGTTGGATGGGGCTTTAAGTAACCTGGCATAATAGAAGTTGTCCCTGCCCATGGCAGGGGAGTTGGAACCAGATGATCTTTGAGGTCCTTTCCAACCCAAACCGTTCTGTGACTTTATGGAAACATTGTTTGTAAGGATTTAGCCCCATAAAAGTAACATGAGATAGTTCTTTAAAGGATTTTTTTTTTTCTGTGTGTGTATGCAACTGCAGTGCAATGTCTGAAATTATATCATAGGAGAATTCATCCTTTTAGAAAATAAAATTGTACTGAAGTGAATCTTGTGCGTGGGAAAAAGATTAGGAGTTACAAGTTCCTACAATTCCTTCTCATGGGTACTGTTTATTACATCCTAAAAGCATCTCTGATACACTGGAGTCCTCAGAGTACTTGTGTCCATTTTTAGCAATCAGAAAATTTTCCAGTGTGTAGAATACAGAAATGCAGTTATTTCAGTCATGGTGGAGGCCTCTTTCCCTGTGGTGCTACAGGACGATTATCTTCCATCAATGAATGCTTTTTATTAATGGCAGCTTCTTGTATATTTCTGTGAGAGAGATTGAGTGGTTCTCACTTGCCTTTGTGGCTAAACAACAGCACTCAGCATTAACTCTATAGCAGTTGTTTACTGTCCTCCAAGATGCACTGCTGCCATTTCCAATTTGTTCAGCAAACATTCACATACTCCCTTACAAACCACTACTACTGACTGACTGTTACAACTCATTAGTGCCGTATGTGACAAACAGTGCAGGTGCCACACTTGGGAGCCCTATTGAAAGCAACAGAGTTTTATGTACCGTTTCTGATTTATCTGACCATTTAACGTATAGAACACTTGATTTCATCAGGAAAGCTGCCTAATCAGGATCTCTCTAAGATGGTTGCCATGGCCGCTGCTCAGTGTCATTCAGGTGGTTTCATAGCACTTCCATCCTTTGTGTGCTTCAGTCCTCCAGCCAGGACCATCCTTCAGTCCCTGTTTAGTAAGGAGGTACCCTTCAATAGACAGTTCGACAGCATTTTGTGTTGTTTGTAACACTCTCAAGCATTTATTTTAGGAATTTATTGCATTTTGCTGTTCTTTTTGTCTTCTCTCTATAGGCCTGGCCAGAGAACTGTAGATGACTTAGAATTTATATATGAAGAACTTCTTCACATTAAGGCCTTATCTCATCTTTCTACCACAGTAAGCATTTTGAAAAATGTACCTTCTCACCAACAGGAAGATTGAATTTTGATTTCTGGTGCTTTATTAGAATTGTTGTACCTATAACCCTTTCAGTTTATACTTTCATGCAAAGTAGTTATTCCCACCTGTGGGGACTGTCCAAGTGCTATGCAGATATAGGTTGTCCTTTGGATATCAGATGTAATTCTCTTCATGTGTTTATACTCAGCCAGCACCCCACTCACTTGGCACAGGTGCCTCCATCTGCATCCATATATGAGTTTAAATTGAGATTCATTTAAGCTGACCCGACACCTGGAATTGTAGCACTACTGAATTTTGCAGAAAGATGTCTAATTTCTGAACTGTAAGAACAACTTAGATGGGAGGAATTATAGCATACAGAAAGGTGCACTGTTCAGTGCTGGCTGGTTGGAGTTTGGTCATTGAGTGAAAGAAGCCTCACCAGACACCTTCTCTCTGAGTGGGCAAGAACAGTGCAGAGAACCAAGAATAAAAGAAATAGAAAAAATACATGGAGGAGAGAACGCAACTGTTCATAAAGTCTCAGCATCATTGACAGGCTGTGCAGGCAACAGAAACAAGCTAAATAGCACTTTACTTGGTAGCAGCAATGTATGGACGCTTTCAGGAGGAAGCCAGTCAGAGTAAATTTCTGTTTGACAACAGCTTCTTTGAAAGCTGTTGATATTTTCAATAATTCTCAGCTAACTTGGACAGGTGCAGCTAATTATGAAGCTGCATTTCAGAAAGATAGCACCCCATGCAAACATGTAACACCTGAGCAAATCTTTACAACAAGAATATTCATCCAGAATTGGTACCTGAACTAAGAGGGAGCATCCAGCCAAACTCCTTAAGCACCTCTGGAATGTGGAAAAAAAAGTGTTTAAAGAAAGACTTCTGTAAGATCCAGAAATTACCCTTTTCAAAGCAAACAAAAGAAACTACCCGAGTTAGACAGATAGCAGGAGGGAGCGGAGGACATTCTTGACACTACAAACAGAACCCAAACCACAAAATACTTCCAGCTCAGAACAAATTCAGATTGAAGATCAGAATCCACAGCAAGTAGCATACAGAACAAGTATGGTAAATGATACAAACTGCGGAAAGCACTTGGCATTTTGAAGAAGTGCAGTTGATTCCATGTGTTTAGTAAGAGTTTAGAAATGCCAGCCTATTACAGTGCAGCATGAACTAAAGCAGAGGACGGAAACCATGACTAGTTTAGAGGAAAACTTCAGAGGAGCAACAGGAAGCATTGCTCCTATGAACCAGTATATTAATGGTCAATCGACTTGAAAGCAAATGAAATGTTCATCAATTTTAAGCAAGGAATAATTCCTAACGTAATAAGTTTTCCAGGTACACCATGAGCAGGAAGCAAAATGGTTAAAAGTCAAGGCTCGTGGCGATGAACTCATCCCTGCTGAGAAGCCTGTAAAGTTAATGTATGAATGCAAAATGGTTACATAGTGCAGTGTTAAAAACAGATCAAATTCTTTGCTTCTTCAAGAGGATTCATTCACTGCAGAGGCAAATGACTGAAACAAGGGAGAAGATATTTGAGGACGTACATGGATAGGAACACTCTATAATACACAGAACAGTGCTGATGAGGTTCTATTTCCTGTCCTTATCAAAGCATCATTCCCTTCAGGCAGAGGTTATAAATGAGTTAGGTGAGCTAATTATTATAGAAATCACAGGCTTGTGGGTGTGTTCACTGGTGAGCGTACTACAAACACCTCTACTTACCCCTCTTCTTCGGACTGCAGACAGGGAATGCTTTGCCCTCTCTGTCAGGAAAGAGTTCTGGGAGAGGTGGCTGGTGTGCTATGTATATAGTTGGTGTCTGTGCAAAGGTTTGGTGGGTGCCTTCAGGACATCACAGGCTAAACTTGTCCACCTAAGGAAATGCAGCCACCAGACTCTCATCTGGATTGTGTTTAGGGTTTGAGAGTTCCTCCCCAAGTTTTTCTGTATATCCTAAAAATTTATCCAATTTAAACAGTTGGGGAAATGGCATGAAAATAGTACTACTAAATATATGCTGGAGCCAGCTTTCGACCTGTGTTTGGGACAGCTAAGTTATATGGTACTACTTCTGAAACATGGATTGTCACCAGCTGACATTTTCTGAAAACAAGAATCCCACTGCTTGGACATTGGCCTTCAAATCCGTGGAGATTGGTGGCTGGACGAAGGGAGACGTACAGCACACAGGAAAACTCAGGATAATATGAGGTTCCCAGCGCGGCTGCTATTTTGTGAAAGTAACACTAATAGCATTTACAGTGAGAAAAATTGGTGGTAAACAGTGTCTCACTAGAGGTAAGTAAGAGTAAGAGCTAATCACAGCAGAGCAATACAAACACAGTGAGGATCAGACGACACCAGGGGTGTTGTCACATTCTCCAGTTTTGGAAGATGTAATGGGGTGAACTTTTTGCCTGGGAAGCTGTTATGTGGAGAGGGGCCTTAGCAGGTCCAGATGGCAGTGCCTCACAGCTCAACACAGTGGAAGTGGCTCAACTTAGCTTATTAAGGGAAAGGCTGCTGATTTCTCAGGGAAGAACAGGAGTAGAACAGGAAGAAGTTTCTTCCTGAAAGAAGTTCTTTCAGGAAGCCCCATCTTCTGTAATAGATTAGCTATTGGCATTTGAAATGTTCCATCATGTTAATGTTAGTTGTTAATGATGGTTTCACATGTGTGCGTATAAAGAAAGATGTGGAGACATGTATCTTGAAGCCCTTGTCTGAGCCATGAGCCAGGAAATGTAGATGCTCATGGTCTGTGAAGTAAATCAGTAGGAAATAGAACATCAAGTGAAGCAGACCACTCTGGCTGTGTGAACCTGAGTGAGTGCTGAACGATGCAGAGGGAAGGCAAATAGCAACTGGGGTATATGATGTGACTTTCTCTCACCAGGAGGAATAAGATACATATCAAACCTATTTTTTTTTTCTCTCCTTCTTTTAAGGTAAAGCGAGAATTAGCAGGTGTCCTCATTTTTGAGTCACATCCCAAAGCAGGAACAGTCTGTAAGTACATGTAGTCCTGTCAGATCTTCTTTCTTATCTGGGGCATGAACATTTAAATTCTTAACGTTTAAATGACGAGCAAAACTTGGATGCTCTCTTCAAACCTGACTGGCACTCTGTTTAACACCTGGGGTAATAGGTGTTGGTTTAGTCCTACCAGTTGCAGGGACAGTACCAAAATTAATTCTATATCCTTGGTTGGATGTATGCGTCACCCACAATTTGGGTGTGTTCTTATCTAGAATTTTGGGTTGTACCAATAGCTACTGAAAATGTAATTTAATATTATCTTTTTATTAAAGAAAAGACTTGCTGCATAAAATAAATGATTTAAAATGTTAGATCACTCAGCCCTGTTTATACTGAGAAGTTTTAGCAAGTGAATGTCAAATTCACAGCCACTAAAGAATTGGGTTAGAAGTTTGTGCTACTGGTGGGATCCAAATCTGGTTAGTAATTGATGACCTGGCATGTATTGATAAAGTAGACGTTGCAATTGTCTTGTAAATGCAACTTTCACATCAATGTAATAAAATAACTACTATATGAGCATGGTTTTTTTTTTTTCTAAAATCAGAAGGCAATTTCTTTAAGAATCATAGTATGTCCTTTGTCACAGTAGACATTAATATGACTGCAGTAGAGTTACCTTGAATTTTATTGAGTACAGAATCTGATCCATTTATATTTTAAGTAAGTATATTCTCACCATAAAATCTTTTCTCTCTCTTGTAGTATTTAATCAGGGAGAAGAAGGTACTTCTTGGTACATTATCCTAAAGGGATCAGTAAACGTAGTCATTTATGGCAAGGTATTTTTTTCAGAAGCCTTTTTATATGATTCTTATTATTAAAATTGTAAGAGTAAACTTTGAAGGAGCACAGTTTAATTTAGAGCAAAATTGCTTTGTCTGAGGAAACAAATTGAATGTAATTTCATTAAGAAATGATCCAGTGGTTTCACTGATTAAGCTTCCAGTTGATTGCTGTATAATTTCAGGATATATTACACACTTTCTGAATATAGTTCTGGAGAGCTACATTAATATCTTTAGGACAAAGTAATTGGCTGGAATTTGGTGAATTGACAGACTTCCTTCTCATGGGGTTTTTTGCCCTGTCCCTATATACTTGCACGTGTATGACTAACTTCTCTCGCACATCAGGGGTGTCTGACAAAAGTACTGCTTTGTGACTAGTGGTTCTCAGGTTAGATGAATCCCTCCCAAATTTATGCCAGCTCTTCATTTTAATCAAGTTGTAGACTGAAAAGCATCTCTGTTATATTTCCCATTTATGAGAGATTTTCCAAGGTAAAAAAATAGGAATTTGGTGCAGAGGAATCCCTCGTGTCTTTAAAAATCCCTACTTCTCTATTGATATTTCATTCAGTGACTGGGAATCCTCCATTCTGAATACCAAGCATGTCACCAAAATTTAGCATAGAGGCCCTGGTGCTAAGTCTATTCCTAAGTAACCCATATTTAGATAGTGTTTTTACATCACTGGGTGAGCCAGATCTTCTGTTACTATAAACTGTAGTAAATGGAGCATTGCTGATTTACACCAGCTGAGGGTGAGTTGTTATATGTTATTTCTGCAAACTTGATCTTATTTTTTAGGGCCTCTGTAAATAAAAACCAAACAACTCAACAACTTTCTGTCTTCAGCAGGGCTGGAAGAGTCCTTCAAGCTGAATGTAATTTCAGAGAACAAGCCAATTCTTTTCTATTCTTGCATTTCTTTAGTAATAGTAATAACCAGCTATCAAGTATTGTTTCCTAGTCATTATTTTGGCTGTTGATTTCGTGCCAAATAGATTTGTTTTGGTATTTGATTGTGAAGTCCAGTGTTTGTACAAGGACTTTCAATAGAATCCAGAGTAATGATGGGTTTCTGCATATAAATGTTTTGCTCTGTGCAGGGTGTGGTATGTACTCTACACGAAGGAGATGATTTTGGCAAGTTAGCACTTGTGAATGATGCTCCCAGAGCAGCATCCATTGTTCTGCGTGAAGACAACTGCCACTTCTTGAGAGTAGACAAGGAGGACTTCAACCGGATCCTTAGGGTAAGAGTGGGAAGGGCCACTCCAACAGTGTGGTATCAGAAATCGCAGTTTTTTCTAGAGTTTGTCATATTTCTATGGATCTATTGATACTGATAACCACGTTTCAACTGCCCCTAATTACAGACCAGAGATGCAACAGTTTAGAAGATCAAGTAAAGAATATATAAATCATCTTTCCTCTTTTTCTGTTCCTATCTCAGCTGTGAAAATGGGACAAAATAGTCTGTTTTGTCTCTCACATTTCTGTGGTCTAGAATTTGCCAAGTGTTCAGTTTTTCCTTATTCCATCCAGATACTGGGTTAAACAGGATCACCTGTTCTCCCAGATAAATCAGTGTCTGGTACCTTAATAGATTCAAGGCAGAATCAAGTGGCAAATTAAATAAGCTACAGGTAAATACACAGCTGTCTTTATCAGAGAGTTCTAATTTACAGTTATCATGTTAGGGCAAATGTGTTCCAAAGTCCGTAAATACAGGCTGGTTTGTGATTGATTATTCATGGTATAGGAAGTCAAGAACAGTATCATCCTGTATTTGAATGTATACATGCCCAGTATTGCAGCCGTAGACCCAGTCCAGACAGAGTATTGTGCTAGATGACATAAGATTGTATTTACTGTACAAAAGAGAACAAGTATCCCACCGGCAGTAAGGTTGGGTTGGCCATGGAGACTCCTGATTTAGCTGATTTAGCTTTGGTTGATAATTGAAAGAAGATCGAAGTCCACGGTCTTACTTATTTTCATGTGTGTTATTTGAACGGACATTATGTTTAATTCTTTTTTTTTTCTTCTGTGATCTGGTAGTAGAAAATGAAGTTCACTGACAATTTAAACTGAGCTAAGACCATTTTTAAGTGACATTTTCTTTCTTTTAAAAAAGAAAAGTCAGATTACAGATCACAATGTTTACATATAAGTAGGACCAGAGATTACATTACATATGGAAATTTTGGGGTAGGCACTCTGTTTTTCGGGAAACATTTTTTTTCCTTTGCCATAGCCAGAGATTTTTCACATGCTTCTTGCTCCCACAATTCTCTGTCTCTTCCCCCACTGCCAGTGCTTCCCTGTTGATTATGCCTGTGAGAAATCAGAATAGATAAACACAGGGGAAAAGAACCAACCCCAGAGCCTTTGTATTTGAAAGACATTCACTTTTTCAGAGTAACTAATCAGCCAAATTGGGTGTAATTACTTTATTAAAAGTAACTTGTATTGCAGGATGTGGAAGCAAATACAGTAAGACTCAAAGAACACGACCAAGATGTCTTGGTGTTGGAGAAGATCCCAGCAGGAAACAGAGTTTCTAATCAAGGAAATTCACAGCCTCAGCACAAGTATGTTTTCATTCAATAGTGCGAATGTCAGACAATGATTAACCTTTTCATATGGTATTATTATCCAAACAATAGCATATTCCCCCTTTCTATGGAAGAATGCAGTGCATGTGAATTTTAGTTCTTTCTAATCATCAGCTGATCACATGCCCCATACTAGATAATATATCCATTTCCAGCAGCACACCAGTTCTATGTCTTTACACAATAATTCCCTAAAGATCTCACTGTAAATACTTATCTCATGTAATAGCTTCTAAATAGACTGCACATGGAGAATGCTGAAACCCTATTAAGCTGAGCTACTGTGTAAAGTACACAAGGAAAATACATTGTTTTATTGTTAAGAACAGAGATTTTCATTTTGGATTTTGACTCTGGATTCCAGTAAGAGTTTGCTAGGTACAATTTATACACAAAAAAGATCTCATACAATCAAAGTCACACAGCTTGTCTTACAGAATAGGTTTGAACTATAATAACAATATTCATTATATTTTCTTTACTTTCTTACTGAAAGCGAAAAAGTACAATTCTGTTTGGATACTACTGTGATAAGAGTAGAGTGAGGCTGTTATCATTCCAAATGTTGGTAAAACCCTTAAAGGTTTGTAAATGTCTTATTTGCAAACGGATGAACAATTTTCTTCTAAAAAGCTAAAATGACTCCAACAAAATAAGCGCCAAGAAGTTTTGAATTCTTTACCTTGGACCTTACTTTTTCTCAAGGAAAGAGCTAATTTACTGTGAGATATTTTGGGTACAGTTTTTGTCTGATCTGGGATTTCATATACCTATTTTATCTGCATGAGTAAAAAGATTTGTGAAGATTTGTGAAGGGTTGAATAAACAATTCCTTGTATTTTATATACACATTTCATGTATTTCAGAAAACACCATTTCATCTTCCATTTGCTCTATTAGAAAAACAAACTGTCCTACCAGTAAAACAAGTACTTTTACAACACATTTTTCTTTGTCTACTTCAGTCTAAATGGACTGCAGCCAATGGATTTGCACTAGCAGCTGGAATGTACAGCAACATGGTCGCAGATTTAAATCCGTTTTCTTGGGTCTGATATATTTTTCATGCTTTCAAAAATGAAAGTTGCATTTAACATATTTCAAACGCTACCTTCCTTACAACTCTTTACACCAGCATTGTCTGCGTTATTTAACGTTTTCTTGTTCAGAATTCTATAGAAGTAGCTAGAGACATTTATGGTTCCTGGTTAAATTGTATTTTAGACCTTACATTCCAGGAATATTTTCAGGTAAAGCTCAGTATTTCATTTCTGTAAATATTTTATGCATTTGGTCAGCAAGGGAGCTTTTGAAAGAAGATCAAATGTGCCATCAGGGGAGCTTTTGCTGATAACAACAACAAATGGACATAAGCTACACAAAAGAGGAAGCTACCTTGAAAGTTCACGCTCTGCTTTTCAGCAGATTACTTTGTTAATAGTGTGTTGGAAGTGTCTTTTGGTTTAAAAACTTTGGAAGTGAGTTCACTGGTTTTGAAGATAATGTTTCTTTTGTTTCTTTTGTTAGTAAATAGAGTAAGTGGCTACATTTCTGCTTGAGAGTTCAAATCAAAGTTACTGATGTGGTCTGATTTCCAGAATGCATTACTGGAATGTGTTAGTTGGCTGTTCAGTACTTTTGAAGATGTACCCAAAAAGAAAGCTTTAAAGGGACCTCTTCTTAAAGGCTTGCTGCTTTGCCCTTAGTTGGGTAGCTTACATCACTGATACCTCTTCAGCTGAGCTGCCCTTTGGGCTCTGCTTCCTAAGCAGGTACACAGAATTTTGCACTAGAGAAATATTCTGCATCCCAAAGTTGATCCCTAAGATATCCAGTCAACCAAGAAACTAATCTTCTTCATCTGTCTTGGGGAAAGCTTCACTTTGGGATCAGATCCTCTCAGTTGCAGTTTGGGTTCTACTACCTGCTCTACTGAGGAAGCATAGCTCTTACATAGCTCCCTGAGCCACACTTTCAAACAGTGACAGTTTTGCCTCGAAGGACTGGCTCTGAAGTTCTCACTCCCAAGATCCAACTCTTTATGGGTGATCACACTCATGCAGGATGAATTCCGCGCCCCTGCAAGTCACTTCACTGTTCATTTTCACTTTCATATTCAGAGTACAGCAACCTGTGATTTCTCTGCTTCACACACTTAGATACATGGTTGGTATCTCTGCGAGAATGTGCACTGGCTTAACAAGTGTTTATGTTCTTGGGACATCAATACGGTTCTTCCAAAGGGGTTGGCAGGTAAAAGAACTGTGGCGGTCAGCACTCAAAGTGAGGAGGAGCTCCCAGGAGCTCAGCTCCACCACTTATTTCTCAGCAGGAGCAGAGTATCTTCACTTCTTGGGGTTTTTTTTCTCTCTCTCTCTCTTTTCTCTTTCTTTTTTTTCTTTTTTTTTTTTAAAGTTTCATACTTTATCAGTTGGATTAAAAGAAAAGAAAAAAGATGCAAAGATTGAAAAAAATGGAGGAAAAGATGAAAAAATCTGATCTGCAAGGAAAAGAAAACGACAGGCCACGTTTAGCAATATCAGATGATATTTTGCTGGTACTTAAAATATTGCTAGTATTTCTGCCAGAAAAAAACTGACTGTTACACTAGTTGTCTTACCTCCCTGTTTACTCCAGGAAATGGTACACTCCTATGTTTATTCACTTGAAAAACTTACTTCCACTATCTAAGGCATTGCACAAATTTGAAGACACAGTGTGTTATTTCGTTATCTGTCCCCATCTTCTCAGACCCTGTTAGCGATGCAAAGGAATTTGTTTCCTTGCTCTGACACTAATACACACCAGTTCTCATTTCATCCTCATAGTGAGTCTGTTAGGACCCTCTAATGCTATTCAATTGCTGTCATTACTGAGATACTTTTTCTGAGTGGAGAAGCATTTCTGATTGCACTTCCTCAGGTCTGCACCAGTGCAGCTCTGCGGATTGTGGTGTAACTAGGGTGGTGTTATACTGGAGTACTTGTGTGGGGAGGAGGCTGCCTGTCATCTCATATTCCCTGGGTAAGGTAGAGAGTGTTACTGCTCCCACTTTACAGGGGGAAGGCCACAAAGAGTGTCACTGGTTTTGTCCTAAACCACACCAAGATTCCAGTCAGAGAAGGTTATTTGTACACTGGCACTTGGCAGTCCTTGTCTTCTGACTGGTACACAGCTCTTTATTAGCTGTTTTGCCTATGAGACTAACTGTTCCTTTCCCTCCCTCAGGTATATTGTGATGTCAGGAACCCCTGAGAAAATTTTAGAGCACTTTCTAGAAACTATGCGCCTTGAAGGAACTCTAAATGAAGCTACAGGTATCTACATGACAAAGGCTGTGTTATTATTACTTCATAAGATATTCTTTCTGGGGGAATACTGCAGTATGACACTTCGAAAAGCAGACAGTGATAGGGTTTTTTTTCCAGAACAAGAACTGTCCACTGCTCTGTAACAACCCTAAGAAAACCTAGGAAATCTAGAATTAAAGATAACAATCTAGAAGTAAAATCTAGAAGTAAAGATAACAAGCCCATTCTATTGTACCTGCACTTTTGGTTCGGAGTAGAGCGGTAAAATCCCAAAAGGTGCCAGATCACTGGTCATGACTTTGATTAGGCACAACTCTAAGACCAGGATACAGCATGCATTACCACCCGGTGATACTCGTACTCATACTCCTAGTTTTGGATGTCACTTAATACTGAGAACCAGCTTGATACCTCCAGCCATTGCATTATGCTAATATAAATATTCCCAAATTTTCATATCCATATCACACTTAAAGTATTATAGTTTAAAATACTGGTTTGTGATCCTTTCCCATTTTCAGGGGAAGAAAATTTGTTACTCAGAAGAACTCAGAACACCATGGGTCAAGTCCTACAAATGCAGGTTGCTGCAACTGCATTTAATAGGCTGCTTTTCATTAGTGTAAAAAGACCAGATAGTTGCTGACTTACTGTTAGTAAGTACTTTAATTTTTAAAAAGAGTCAGACACAAAATATTCCTCCTAATTACGATAAAGTAATGGACAGAGTTTTATATTAAGCTACATGATATCACTTTAGCAAGTTCTTTTTACATTGCAGATGTCTAAGGAGTGTCTATTCAAATGCATTCTAAAATCCAGGTAATCTGTTAATGACCTCATCATACTGGAGAAACTTATTTAGTGGTTCATAGATGGTGGAAGAATTGAAAGATTACATAAATCCTTTTACAGTGTGTATTTTAACCACTTTTAAGAATAAAAATTACAGCCTTCGCAGACACTTGCTTATTAGGATTACAAGCAGAATATTGTTCTTTAAGCTGACAAGTATATAATCAGAAATTTGCTATTCATAGTATCTGTGTATTATACAATTTTCTAAAATGAATTATTTTAAAATCTTTTAAAATTTTCCCCAAAACATCCAATGACCAGATTATAGGTATATCCTAATGGGATACAAAACATCACAATTCACAAGCAAAGCTATATTTAAGGTATAGAAGCTCAGAGTGCTGTAAAATCAAATTTTTAGTTTATGCATTCCTTTAAGAATTGTTAAAATCCACTTTGCACTGGATATTATGGAAAGAAAAAGTCCCACCCTTCTGGAGGTTAGTTTTGTCAACTGAGAGGTATTTTCATACATGAATTATGGTGGAAGCCGTGATGTAATGCTACATTCCACAGTCAACATAATTTTCCTGACATCCCTGTTACATACAGGGGTTTTTAAGTGTTTCTCTGTTTCTCAAAAGTTGCACATAGAAATGATACCCAGGGTATTGTGTTTATTTTTTTTTAGTGGTTCCATATAAGACTTGCATAGTTTAAAAGTAAGAAACAGTTTAGTCTCACTGCCAAACTTATTCTGGCCTCTGCAGCCAGGCTTCATAAATCTTTCTTGTCACAAGTGCAAAGACAAGGCAAACTGGGATTTACACCAGTGCTACCACAGATCATTTTAACATTAAAAATAGCTTGCTGGTTTTTGCCAGAGAAAATGTCCGTCATATTGGTCATATATGTTCTAATGTAATTGTATCCAAATGGTTCACTGTAGCACAGATGTTGTTTTGTTGGGGATTTTTTGCTGTGCCAAATTTCCCTTTGACACAAGCAAATGCCTGTTAACAACAGTGCAGTAAAATTCACGCAGACAAGAATGAAAGCTTAATATTACAGCTCGTATTTGTTCATTCCCCATTTTCATACTTAATATCTTCAAACAAACTGCAAAAAGACCCCTTTATTATCAGCAGAGGGAGAAAAAGATACTTCAGTGGGAAGAAAACTCATCTTTGTGATCCCCAAGCTGTTTGCAAGGGCTTAATGGACAGTTTTCTTTCTTCTCTTTTCACAGATTCTGTTTTAAATGATTTTATTATGATGCACTGTGTTTTTATGCCAAATAGTCAGCTCTGCCCAGCCTTGATGGCACAATATCCTTTTGTAAGGGAAAAGTTACATGCCTTTAACAGCTATCCCTGTTGGTGATGAGACTGAAGCTTCTCTCTCTCAAGAAGTACATCACATTTCATGGAGGCTGTGCCTTGTGGGTAGGTTCTCAGTGTCTGATGAAGAGCTATCCATAGTTCAACAACTATGAAATAGATAGTGTATACCAATGATGAGATACAGTCCTGAAGCATGAAAACTGTATCTTTCCTGTGCTGATTACTATTCCAAGGGAAAGAAATGTACTGCTCCTCCACCAGATAAATGAAATTACATAAAAGTTTGGATTACCCTTCCTGTATCCTTTCTTTTTTATTTGTTTTTGTTTTCTTTTGCTGAGCTACAGCACCTAGATTTTAACTGAGATCATTATGTTTTAGTGATTTCAATGGTCTACTTTATAGATTACAAGCTGAAAACTGCTTCAGGCAAAAGGGTACCTAAACTAGTAGAATAATGGGTAAGCAGTTTCTAGGTGCTGTCATAATAGTTATCAATGAAAATAATAATAATCTCTAATAATAATGATCTATAGCAAATGTTGACAAACTGCAAGAAATTTCAATTGCATGCAAATACTTATGAGATAAAAGCTTACAATGGATAGCATTAGTTGCTGGAGGTGGTTCTCATACTGTCTGCATGTTTTACAGGAGGAGTCTGTGAAATGTCCATCAGCCAGTTTGTGGCAAGTCATTTAGTTTGGGGAGCTGCTGGGCACTGAGAGTTTTCCCTGTGCACAGTGACTTGAAGCTATCAAGTGACTGGGAGCATTAAATAAACATATAATGTTTTCTGGTTTATAGAATTCTGACAGGGGTATAATAACTTCAATTCCCTATTTATTTTTTAGAATCAGAGTGGTGTAAAAGTGTGCTTTCCTTGAAGCTCAGTGGGGCGAGTGACATCTAGGAAAGCTAACCCCTTGAAACAACAAAATAGAGCATCATGTCCTTGTCTGGCAAGCTTGAGAATCCATTTGTGTTACTCCTAGCAAGGACAGTAATTGTTTTTAAAACCTTTGGACCCATAAAAGTGGTCTGCAGAAAATTGTTCGTACACCTGAAAAAAACACATTTTCCAGAACCACATAGTTTTGGATATCAAAAGGATATGAAATGCTGTTGCTGACAGATTTGAGAGGGGAAGGAAAGGACAGAACTTTTTGTTTTGAGCTTTTTTCTCTGATTTATCTAGCTTGTGTTATTCAGTCGGTCCATTTGAGACTCAGAATTGCCTATCCTCAGGTATAATAGTATACCTCTGATATCCAGTAACTGGGAAAATCAGATGCATAAGCAAAATGTACTTCATTGTTTATAGGGCAAAAGCTTTTCTGAAGACCAAAGTGGTAGCATTACTTATGTATACATACTCAGTTGTGATGAAATGTATTCTGGAGAACAGGGTAAGACCACGGTCTTAAGTGGGTTTTGGCAAGCATCATGCTAATTCTTTTCAGTGAGGAAAAGGAGGGCTGGAAGTAACTGGTATCCCACTGCTTTAGTGTCAGCTTTTCCTAGAGCTGAATTATTGTTTATTTGGTCCATTCTGAATATGGAAAATCAAACCGGGCTCTGTTGATTGTACCATTGAAATTTATAGTTAGAGTTGAAAGGTTGCTAACAAAGCTTATCTTTTCTGAGCAAAATCAGTCTACAAAAAGGTTTGCTGGTGCTGAGATACTAAGGAGAGATTAGTTATGTGTAGTTAGGAAATCAAAACACAAAAAAGAAGGGAGGTGATTCAGTCAGAAACACTGTTTTTGCTCCAGCTCCTAATTTTAAATCAGTATAAGTCTATTTTCCTATACCAACTTATGTTACTATTTTATCTGGCAGCATATGAATATGAGTAGTGCTAGATAATCATAGAATGGTTAGGGTTGGAAAAGACCTTAAGATCATCTAGTTCCAAGCCCCCTGCCATGCTGCCTGTTGGACCAAGGCCCCTGTTCCCCTATTTTCTACACAGAGATGGAAATGGACAAATTCTCAGAGCTACAGCTTGTCAGAGGGAGGCAGGACAAAGTCATAAAAAATACTTGAAATAGAGTAGCACCTCCAAAAGTGCACCTGGGATAATGCAAGTGTGTGATCATGTGTGCAGGTGTGCATCTATAAAGGAGCACTCTCTAAAAACTTTCAAAGTATAAACTCCTCTTTTGCTTTCTGTAGATGGTAGCCTTTAGTGTGTTCCTGTACGTATATTTTGTGAACCTCCTTTACCATCATACCAGCAAAATAGTTAGCATTCTGTTGTAGTAATGGGTGCTGATTTTGCACAGCTGTTGATAGGGTTAAGTGTTCCCATGCAGGGAAGAACAGACTTCAGAATTGCTTCCATTTCCTAGCATATGCTAGACATAACTAGAAAGATATATATTGAACTCTAACCATGTTGGTGTTGATAAATATTTTACAATTATCTGACACTTGTTGCAAGTATGCATGATCTTTGCCATGAAGCTGCATCCTGTAGGTCCCATAAAAATGGGAGAACCCTTCATTGACTCTCCCTATGATAATGTTAATAAAGGAGCAGTTACTATAAATGAACAGTAAAAATACAGAAAAATTACCATTCGCTGTGGTGAGTCAGTTAATAAAATAAAAATGCATTAAATAATTACAGTGTTTAAAAGGTAAAAATGCCATGACAAAAACTACTCGGTAGAATGTTAGACTTGTTCCCTGAGACATGAGAGTACATAGCTTACCATAAATTATTTACTTCTTATGACCCTTTGACTTATGTACTCCCATAAATGTACTGACATGTTCAGTCATCTTAAACCTGTCTGGGTGAAATTAAAATGCAGAAATTTTGTCAGTCAAATGAGTGCCCCAGTAACCCTGGTAGCATGTCAAATCACTGCAAGGGATTTGGGGCAGGAGGATCTTTCAGAAAGCATGAGCTGCTTTTTCACATGATATTTTATTAGTATTTCTTAGACAAATGCTTCTATATGAGAAGCTTAAAATAAGTAGGTACCTTTGATTTCTAATTAATATTTAATTTTCTAATGAATATTTTAAAATCTTTTGTTAGAACAACTGAAAGAGCACCGTGAGGGGATAATGGACTTTGCTGTGAGTGAAAGCATGTCAGCTGTTAATATTGAACATTGCTATGTAAGTGGGAATAATATTATTCATGACAATTAGAATTTTGGTATCTGGGAAGAAAAGCTGAAGATGTAACTGAACTCATTCAGTGCTTACTTCACATTCAGCTATCAGTTTATTGGGAAACAGATTAAATATACATTGTTAACTTCTGATCAGTGACAAGTAGGCACACAAATCTTCATGTTCTATTTCTGCTGGGGATTATTCTTCATTTTCACATAGGTTAAAAGCTGAAATTATCTCAGTTTGTTGCCCATTGTGCCTTTAGTTTTTTCGTGGTTTCTTGCTTTCAATAAATGTTACTTTTGGCCTTTTTGCCAAAAACATTTGCATATTTTTGTTATGTTGACACTCAATCATGAAAAAGCTCAATGAAATGTTTCCCATATTTTCTTATTCTTTACCACAAAATAGCTATCACAAAGTATTGTGACCCAAATATGCTTTATTTGATAGAGTGGAAACTTCTGCTTTCCTCATGTGTAAGATGAGGCCACTACAGAATTTTTTATTTTACCCCATATCTCTATGGGGTAAAGTTCCTGGTCCCCTTGCCATAATGGGACTGAGATTCACCTTGGGTTACAGTAACTTCTAAAAATAAAAGGAGTAACACTGGTGCTTCATTCCCATTCACAAATGGAAGACTGGAATTGTTAATAAACACCAAGTGTTCTTTTTCTTCAGCTGTCTCCAAAGAACAAGGAGAAATGCCCTTCTTCAGTCTCCATGATTAATCCTCTTCTCTATTGTTCCAATTGTCATTTCTGTCCTGCTCCCCTATAGCAACTGTCTCTGTGGTGAGATTGTGATCATTCCTGTGCTCTTTAGAGAATTCGCTGTCTTTTTACTTTTTAGTATGAATGTGAAAGGTTCACAAGTCTTTATGCTAGCAGCAGTCCAAAATCAAAAGTATATATTGGAAAGTTACATTTGAACACCCTGAAAATGGTTCGTTGGAAGTCAGTTGTTTGTGAATTCACACTGGTTTTGATATTTTCAATCACTGAGCATTTTCCTTGACACCATGGCACCTATCATGCCCAGCCTTCCCAGGGTACAGAGCAGGAGAAAATGGATTATGCCCTCAACAATAAAAGGCGAGTCATTCGACTGGTTCTGCAGTGGGCTGCTTTATATGGAGATTTACTACAAGAAGATGAAGCAGCAATGGCCTTTTTGGAGGTATAAAGGAATTGTATCATTGTACTGAAAAGTACCTACCATGCAAGATAAGCTGAAAGCCTGTTTCTAGTCTGTAGAATTCTGTTATGAACTAAAGAGAAATAAGTCATTTCAAAGTGCAAACTCATAACTGTTTCATCTGGTTTAGCTGCAGACAGTATACGCACTACAACAGTGGTTGAACCATTGTCAAACTCTGGACCTCTGAAAATACCTGCCAGAGTTGCAGACCCCTTTCAAAGCACTGCATGGGTAGATACTTTATAGCAATAGATAAATCTGCTTTATTTTTTTAAATATTTTTCTTGTGAATAGCTCAGAGGCTGTACAGGTTGAGCTGGGGGTCTGTTTATGCCTTCCTGAGGTGTGCCAGGAAGGAAGGTGGAGGGTTCTCACTCTACAAAACCAGCAATCCGTTTCATTTGAATGAAAGCAGTACTGCAGCAAGTGGAACTTAAGATCTTTGTCTTCAGAACCCTTCTGATCCCTTAAAATCATTTGGTAATTCAGACATTGCTTGTATGGCATGTGCTATAGTCTTGTATTTCTAAGGTAAGATGCATTGCCAAAGTCATGTTAAATTGTCATCATTGCGGTTATTATTATATATTGTGTTTATGGAACACGATCATGTATGTTACTGGCTGCATGGAAATTCTTGCCCCAGAAAATGAATCTAATGTAAGAGTTAGGAGAGGGGAATAGAGAGAGAGCTTAAGTAGGACAGATGTAACAGCAAGCCCACATGGGAAAGCTTTTTATAATAGAAAAGCTTTGGAGACAGAAGTAATCTCTTTCATTAGTCCAGAAGTTAAAGAACGATTACTAGTTGCAATCATACAGATCCTTCTTTGGGACAGTGTGATGTAGGTGTGTGGCAGGAAGAGATTTGAGTAGGCTTTAAAAGAGGTAGTATTGTAGTGGATTGGAGTAGGTGAGACTCAAACAACTCCATAACAAATTAATCACTAAGAACTACAACATTAGTGGGTAAAAAAAAGCTATCACACCAGATTATCTGTTAATTTTATAGTCTACTATTGATAATCTGAAAATGCAGCTTTTGCACAAGCAGTCAGTGGTTACACAGTGTGGGAAGGAGCCTCATCAGGCTTCCCTTCTGCATCTGTAACTTGCTTTAAATCAGCTGGAGGTAAACAAGTAGAAGTAATAGAGGGTTGAGCCCAGCATGTGTTCCTCTATGCAGATTACAATTCTTTATAATCCTTAAGCGATCAGATGTCATCTCATAATCCTCTATCCTGAGTACTGCTCATTTACCCCTATAGTTATTTAAAGACTATTTTGTATCATTTACAGGAATTTTATGTATCTGTATCAGATGATACTAGAATGATTGCAGCACTAAAGGAGCAGCTTCCAGAGCTAGAGAAAATTGTAAAGCAAGTGTAAGCACAGTTTTTGATTCTTTACTCCCCCACCCTTTTTGTCAGTAAATAAATGAAGAAAATGTATTGGCTTTATCTCTTAAAAATCCATTCTGTGAATGGCAGTCATAGAAGATTAAATGTTTGCATGCAAGTTTGTTTGAATGAATGTCTATGGCTCTCTCTTTCCACATCATTCTTGCAAACGCCAAAATGTTGTTGAAAGGTTGACAGAAGGAATAAGAAATTATGTACACACCACTGAAACTAAACTGGATGCTTATTTCATGCTTACATGGACTTTGTATAGTATTTTCCCTGCATAGTCATAGGTAACTATGGTGTCATCGAGTCTTTTCATATATGCAAACATTATTGATATTGTAGTTTGACAAGTGGTCTATGTTCTATGTGTGATTTTGTATACAAAATCTTCCCAATAATATATAATTACATATTCTGTGATTTACCTTTTGATAGTTCTGAAGAACCTAAAGCATCACAGAAGAAGGTAAGATAATGTATTTTTTTCCATTTTCTAAAGTCAGTGCTGTAACACAGCAAATCCATTAGCATCTACTCTTTAGAAATCATGGATATATTAAAACAACACATTGAGAAATATCTTTTAACATTGTCAAATTTTGCATTGCTACTCTTTTTCCTGTCATTGATAAGAGACCATTGTAGTTCATGTCTACCCCATAATGTCTGCATTAATTTGAATCCTGATGATTCATTTTCAGCACAAAGTTCTTCTGCAGCTGTTCAACACAAGTGATGACAGAGCACAGAAACGCCAGCCTATCAGGGGTAGCGACGAAGGTGAGTGCCTTCCCTGCAAAGTTTTCTTGAGCCACTGAGATTTGCAGTAAATTTGTCTCTCGCCCAAAATGGTCTTAAAATAAACAAAAGCACCTACCTACACTTTTGAAGTCTGGCCAGAAGGAAACTCTGCTTTTGGTAGCCCAATATTCTCCACCATTGATTTGAAGTGTCCTGGTCTTTTTGCTTAGTTACTGGTGCTGTCAAACACTGTGCTTCCTCAGATGTAGAAACCTTTAAAATAAGGAATGAACAAACCAGGTGAGAATCAGTACAGACAGTGTTCTGCAGCTAATGGCAGTGCAATAAATAGTGGGTGCTGAAGGTCATGTTTGAGACTCTGTCTCCCCTATGTAGTTTAAACTAACATGTACAGCTGCTCCTTTGAGAGACAAATGGAGGAGATAATCGTGCTGTGGATTTCTGCCCTGTGGCACACTGCCTAGAAAACAAAATCTGCTGGTTTGCCCTATTCTATTGTTTCATTCTCTGAAGAGATTAAGATAAAATTTAGAGTAGTGTATCAGAATAACATTTTCAGTTGTACTTGCTTTTCATGTTTTTACTTCAGGCACTGCTTAAAGCACTGCTATGTGAGCAAAATCCTGAGCTCTGCTGATGAGATCTGTTCGTTGCTTATACAAAGATATATGCCGCTTAAACCTCATAAATCTGATGATTTCTTTGGAACTGCTAGGACCAGTCTCTCAGTGGTTGTTTTGGTGCATCTTCATCACAGAAAATAACTTCTTCTTCAAGGTGTTTGATATTAAAGGATAGCTCTTGCTAGTGAACAATAGTAAAAATAAGGGAACAAAATACAAGGTCATATAACTGAGAAAGCTGGTGGCATAAATCAAACCAATGAAAGAGCTATTTCAAAGGCTGAAAGTAACTGCGTGTGAACAGCAGACATCCTGCCAGGCATGCAATTTCTGCTGTCCAGAACAGTGTTTCTTCTAGGTCTACAAAAGAGTGAAACAGTTGCTGCTGCCAGGAAAGTACAACTTGTGCCTGCGGGGATAGGCAATAACTGCCCCCTTCCTATTGCTGTGTGGGGCTGGCAGCACACTGACCACTGAATTATCCATGGACAGCTCATACCCCAGGGGCTGCTTGGCTTGGCTTGGAGGATCTAGCGTTTTCTCTGTTAAAGTCATGTCACTTTGAGCTGCCTTGCTTTTTGCAGGCTAATGTACATTGCATGCTAATGTAAGCTAAGTGATACTGATTTCTAGGCAGCCGGAGGCCTGGGTTCATATATTACTCTGTGAGCCAATTTGTACTGTACACTTAAGTGTATTCTTATTGTCGGAGTATTCTTCTTCTTAGTCTACAACATTCTTGATTCAGGAATTACATACTTGCTTGTACAAACCAGGTTGCAACACAGCTGGATTTAAGTTCTGATTTTAACAAAAACTATTTTCACATCTATTTTATAAATATGAAAATTATTTTCCTCTAATTAAGAGAGTTTGCAGCCAGTTTTCTGACTTGAAAAGAAGTATTAATTTAAAATATTATAACGTCTGGAACATAACAAAGTGCCAGATTAAATTGGCATCCATAAATAACATAGCAATACTGAAACACTCATATGCATGGTTTGCTAAAAGCTCTGGGAAATCAGAGATTTCTGTCCTAGAAAGTGTAGAACATCTGAGGAATGGGGAGCTATCAAACTTGTAATGATTTATTGTTGCTTTGTTTCATTTGTGAGGAGTGGTTACTGAAATGATAGTAATTTGTACAATGAAGTCTCTGTGGTTATTACATGTGACACGCACAGCACATTTTTTTTTTCTTCAGTTCTGTTTAAGGTGTACTGCATAGACCAAACCTACACCACTATTCGGGTGCCAGTTTCTTCCTCTGTGAAGGAAGTGATCAGTGCAGTAGCAGATAAGCTGGGATCTGGAGAAGGCCTCATCATAGTAAAGATGAGCTCAGGAGGAGGTATTGTATTTGAATATCTTAAACTCTTCTTGCTTACGGTGAAGCAGAGCTTTGGAAGGGATTGAAAGACTAAGTCAGTCAAGGCTTTTATGTCAATGTGCATGTTCAGGTTCTGACTCAGAGGCAAGTCCTTTGCCTGCTGCAGGCATAGGCTGAAACTCATATGGGAGACAGGAAAAGCTTGTGTATCTTCATGTTACAGAGCAGAGCTACCCCAGGTTTCTGTCACTGTAAGACTTGCAGGAGATATTAGCAACAGAAATAGGAGGTAAGTGTGGGTAATGTCAGGCTAGACATATGTATCAGCAACAGCAGGAAACACGGTAGTGCAGACTTTCCAGTGCTGGTCACTACCATTCTGGCTGCTCGGTCCATGCAAACCATTACTGAGCAACTTAGTGCCAAGCCCACTGACCTAGTATTTGCAAGGGGTCAGGAGTCAGGCCCCCACTGTAGACTGTGGGAATGGGAGAGTAACTGCAAGGTGAATTCTGCTGCAGAACTGGTGTTGCTGAAGTGCTCTGGTTGAGTGTGACTGTGTAGACACCTGTGTGGACACACACAGAGCTAATAAGAGCTGCGTTTGAAGGCGTTTTTGCAAACAGTGGTGCCTGCCAAAGCCAGCTCACTTCCTGAAAACTGACACCAGGCGGCTCTCCTTTTTGCAGTTGCAGCAATACTTCTATTGTCAGATTTCCTGAAAGGCAGCACATGCTGGAAGAGACTGTTTTGTGTTACTTTATTATCTTTTCTTTACCTGGGAGTAAAAGCTCTTTCAGAACTGCTGCAATGAGATTTGAATACAGTTGCATTTCATCACCTCCTTATGCAGTTACTGTCTTCTAAGGCAATTTCTATTAAGAGTAGCTCTCTGAATGCTCACAGCTCAGAGAAGAATGAATGGAATCCCTAATTATGGTTGAATTTTCGCAGGCAGTTTCTAGAGATGGCAGCACAGGCTTCTTGACCTGTCTGTACGGTCTGGGGCAAAGATTCTGGTAACATATTCCAGTTTCGTAGGAGACTGGTTTGGGCTGAGCTTGTTGTCACATTTCTTCAATAAAAAGGACCTTGTTGTTATCTGTTTTCTGTCCTGGACATCGGTTAACTGTGGAAAATTTGTTCCAAGAAGTGTGACCTGTGCAGCTGTTGGATCAGTCCTGCTGTAAATTCTACATATATCATGACTGTTTATATAATAAACAATCTGTTGTTTCATGGTTACAGAAAAGGTTGTGCTCAAACCTCATGATGTTTCAGTGTTTACGACTCTGAGTGTTAATGGACGACTGTTTGCTTGCCCACGTGATCAGTTTGATTCATTGGTATGTATGTATGCAGTTCTCAGGAAGTTCAGTTCTTCTCTTTATTTGAACACTTGACCTTTTTTGCATTATCATGCTTTAGATGAGAAACTAGTGGAAACATTCACAACAGAGGGCTTGTCACAGTGCTGTGGGATGAGCCCCAAAAAACCAAGGTAATGTAATTCCCTAAACTAGAGCAGAAATCCACCCGATGCACATGACAGCACTCGATCTCAGTATTCTGCAACACCGAGCATTTAGGTAGGTCTGAATGTTGTCACTAAGATATGCAGAAATTCCTGATTACAGAAGTATCTACTCAAGGCCACAGATAGATATTTTAGAAGATGGATCTTACTAATTAAAGCATTCTGAGGACTTGATTCCAACAGTAAATTGCTAAAAATATTCTATTTCTCAGCCCCACAAAATACTGTGTCAGAATCTCAGATGACTCTAAGTATATTCATAGAAAATATTCCTGGTAGAGAGTCTGTTTTTTCTTAGATAGAATTGTTCATAAGTACTCAGGGTTTATACAGTAATTCTAACAATCTCCATGGGATCTACTTTTATAGAATTTGATTTGACTGTACTTTTTGTTCCTTTTATTTCATTAAAAACAAATGTCATTGCCAAGTCGTGTCAGCATGAACTCTATTACTCCTAGCCTTGTTTCAGCCTCCTGTATGCTTTTAACAAGCCACTTAGTATGTATGCCTGATTTCTTTATAGATATGGTAAAATCTGTGCTTTGCTGCTGCTTTCAATTTAGTAACCAGGGAATGCACATCCAGCATACTGTAGTGCCATGCAGAGATACCTCTTGTTCAGTTTATTAAATTCTGATGTTCCCTTAAGGTTAATTAATCCTGCCAAGTAGATACCCTCATGGGGCATGAGACTCTAAAGCAGGGGTGTTGCATCAGTGCAACTGTGCTGGGTACTTTTATATGTCTCTGCATTGTCTGTGTAGATATAGCTTTGGCAGGAAATTGTCATGACTTTCTGTGCCTTTTCCCCGATGCTATTTACCATGGATCAAGTACTCAGAATGCTAGAATGAGCTTTAAAATACAGGGATGCAACGTGCTAGTTTTCTTCAACTGGACTGACTTCAGTAGTAGTTAGGGAGGAGCACTCAGCACCTTAAAAAAGGTTCTCAACACTGCATGACAGAATACATCCCTTTATCAGCTGCATTTTTTCAAATAGGCATAAACAAATTGCAGAATGTTACAGCCTCACTTGCCTCCCAGTTTAATCCCTTCACATTTCAGTTTGTGGCTGCTGCCTATGCATGTACATTCATTCACATTACACTTGGCGATTCCCGTGTGAAAATTGTTCTGGGTTAGATTAATTTTCAGATACGCAATGAGCTTACTTCTAAGTGCTTTTTTCCTAGCCTTGGAAAATATGTGTTTGTTATGGTAACAGCTATGTTGTGTTTGTCTCCAAATAGGGGAAAAAAGCCTTCTTTCAGTCTTCGGGCAATTCTCTTTCCACAGATTTCCACAAATTTAGGATTTTCTACACCAAAGTGCTCAACTTTTATTTCATACTCTTAGACTGAAGAAGTGTTGTGTTTGTGCAGATCTCAATGCAGAGCAATCTGCAGACTGTTGTAAGATTGATGGCAGTCCTGTTTTTTTTTTTAGATAATACTTACCTACAGTTTTTTCTTTTAAAATTGTGGATGAAGCTTTTAAGGTAATAATGTCTGTGGTTTAGCTTAATAATTTAAAATTATTCTATGATTTGAAAGGCAAGTTTTCTTTAGAGTACAAAGCAGGAACTCATACAGAAATGCTCTTGCATGCTGCGCGTTATTGAGGGTGTGATTTGATGTATTAATCCAGTCTGTCCTTTTTCTATTGATAATATAATCATCCTACATAAAGGGATAAATGTAAATATGATCTGTTAATCTTGCAGACTCTATTGAGTTTGTACTCGGAAAGGAGCCTGTTGATAATTCCCTACTCCATAATTAGCTAACAAAGGCCCTATGAGAAATTGAGAAACTTGTAAGTGAACTCTACTGCCCTCTCCTGGAAACAAAACAATTAAAACGTGGGTTCTCAGGAAGCTACTACTTCAAATCTGACTTTATCTCAAGCCGTGTTTTAAATCTCTTTGACACAAGATTTACTTGTCTGCAAAACTGTGTACCTCATCTCATTTTCTGGGTGGTATGGAAGTGTCTTTCAAAAATGTTTTAACTTGAATGTTAAGGATTCTTTCTCCTAAGACCCTGTGCGTATAATTCTAATTAGCATAGCCAGGAGTTTTGCAGTCCCAAATAGTGCATCCCTGTACTGTCAGAGAGAAAGTATGAGGCTTATTTTATAAATGATCAGAAGATCTTACAATCACTGCAGATTTCTGAAATATGGCAGACGTAATAATTCTCATCACTAGAGTCAATAATTTTGCAGAAGCATTTGGCTTATGCTTTGTGGTCTAGATATTTATGTATACAAAAAAGGAAACTGATAACAAAAGCTTTGTGGAAAGACCTATGCTCCTAAACAGACATGCTTTAGTTAGTGCAACGTGCATTGAAGTATTTATTTCTGGCTTCAAATTTTAGAACAATGCTAAAAATAACACACTGAGAACAGTCTGTGTTATTTCCTTACAGTGCCTCTGAAGAGCTTTCAGAATTTTCCTGACTATCCTGTGCATAATGGATACTGATTTTGCACAGGGCTTCTCATTTCCTAAATGCCAGCCTGTGGTTAAAAGCAGATTTCAGTTTTGCTCTTAGAAACATGCTTAGGAAAGTGGTCACATAGGGAAAAAAAAGGTCAGAAATGTTATGGAAGAAGAGCACCAGTCATGGAATGTAGTATTTCTAAAATATTTTTATGACATTTTTCCATTTGTAGGCACCATTACCAGAACAGGAAGGACCATCGACAGGTACAGTAGGAACGTTCGAACTGATGAGCTCCAAAGACTTAGCACATCAGATGACAATTTACGACTGGGAGCTCTTCAACTGCGTGCATGAGGTATGAGGGTCTATTCTATTCAGCAGATTAGAATCTGGTAGAAAATATTTAGTTTCACATTGTAGGTTTGTGCATAACTTGCAAAACTTGCTCTAAGCTTGATCTTCAAAAATACTACAATAAAGGCACCTACAAGTTTTGAAAGTATGAGGCATTCTTAATGGTTTAGGCAAAATGCAAAAATAAAGTTAAACTTCACCTGCGCTTGTGCTGCTTACTGAATTGCTTTTGTATGTTTTAAGGTATTAAACTATTTATACGTAGTCTGTAGCTATGCTTTTAGTATGCCTCAGCTATTGTCTACTGGGTTTGCAACCTGCATCCTTGTCATTTACAACAATAAACGTAAACTGTAGGGCAAGTTTCAGGCTAGATACTTACCTGGTCATTCTTAGCCTTTTTCCTCTGTCCAAAAGATGAGATTTCTAAAACAAAATATCCCAAACTATTTTCTTTTTCCTAGCTGGAACTGATTTATCACACTTTTGGGAGGCACAATTTTAAAAAAACCACAGCAAATCTGGACTTGTTTTTAAGAAGATTTAATGAAATTCAGTTCTGGGTGGTCACTGAGATTTGTCTTTGTGCTCAACTCAGCAAACGTGTTCAGCTGTTAAAGAAGTACATAAAGATAGCAGCCCAGTAAGTATACAGTCATCTGTGAACTGCAAATGAGGTTCAGTATAGTTAATTTATTGTCATTTTTCTTTCTTGTTTTCAGACAACCACACAGCAGAGATTAAAATGTTCTCTATTTGGTAATTCTGTCCATTTCCTTATAGAGCTGTATCGAACCTTGTTTATAGTCTTTTTTCGTGTCCTACTTTCCATTGCTCCTTGATCTGTGATCTCTTAGGGCCATGCTTTCACATCAAATTTGTGAGTAAATACGTTTCAGTTCATTAGGAGGATCCTTCATTTACCCTTACATGCATTAGCAAATATTAATATGCGAACTAGTAAATATTAACAAAATTGAGCCTTAATTTTCCTGAGAACAGCAGTGTTTCTGGTGCTGTTCAGGAAGACTCTTCTCAGAATTGCTCTGAGTGGGAAAATCAAGAGGGAAGAGCAAAGAGATGTAGTATGGAGATGATGAGGCTTATGTTACCTTCAGGCTTCTTGGGATATTTTTCTAATACTTTTGTTTGAAAATACAACAGCAAGAATATCCTTTTTTGTTACTAACTGCTGGGTCTGAACTTGGATAGCAGGCAGTTCTTGCTTTTTTCTATTCTTTCATTTCATTCTTCATAAGACTTAAACTCCTTGGAGACTTCATGCCAAAGATGTTGGCCTTGACTCCTTATCACTGAAGCAAGTGTGTGACAGAGAGGAAGCAGGGACGTGCTCCTGCCCCCTGCATAGCTGTAGTTTTATATCACCGTTACCTGCTTCCTTACTTTGCAGTCCATGGTGTATTTATTGCATTCATCACTGTCGGAACAAACAGTTGGCTGAGGTGTGCAGTGAGGAACTGCCTGTGTAAGTGTCTACGCCTTTGGACGCTGTGGCCATTAGACAGTCTTGCCAAACAAAGAAATTCTTACTTGCAGTTAAACCATAAGTTGGTATCGTTGAATGTAGTTGTGTGAAGGAAGAGGTTACTATTAGAGCTGTGTGCCACCCTCCTCCCAGTTAGTAATTCCACATAGCTGAAATCAGGGTTCACATCAGCACTCTGCATCAGCGTGCCTACCTTCTCTGGGAAGGACCCTGCTCTGCCAGTACCGGCTTCCTCTGGGAACTGCTTTGGGCTCTCTGGTCAAATTACCGTTGGTCGAAGCTGACAATTTCAAACTCTAGTGGTGGGCACGCAGGACCAGGCTTATATTCAGAACAGAGGACAGAATTTACCTCTCTAGTTTCTAAAAACATATATACCGCATGTTGCATTATGTCATTCTGCAGAGAGGAACTGGGAAGCAAGCTGCCGGCCTGCGGGCTGTGTCCAGGAGAGGGCACTGGCACCCGCACACAGAGGCATCTGGGTTTGTTCTGAACTCAGGCATGAAACGGGAAAACGTTGAAATGTGGCAAATTAAGAAACAATAGTCATTTCCATAAACACTTGAAATCAACTATCCTAAAAATTACAGTTAAATATCTCCTTAATAAACTGCCCTCGCCTGTGGGTTCCTCAGTGTCATGGGTTTAATCCTATGCTATTTACAACAGCTTGACAACCTCCTGTTTACTTCCATGTTTCTGGTATCACTACAATGCTAAAAATAAACAGCTAAAAGAAGTCTGCTCTGCTGAGCCCTCTTTGTCTCCTACCAGCAGAGCAATGCAAGGCACAAGGTTTTCCTCCGTGCAGACGGAGCAGGCAGGTTGAATTGCAGCGGCTGGAAAGGCCACAGGGAAGTTTGGCAGGCTGCTGCCCTCAGCACATGCAGTGCTGCCATGGGAACAGGTACCACAGCATACGGTAAAACAAACACAAGTGCACTGAAGTTAGTGGGACAAAAAGGCAAGGAACTGGATCAAAAGATGTGGGCCCAGGCCTTGAAGCAGGGGGGCTTTCGAGGAAGTTTTGCTTGTGAAGAGACCTAATGAGAACCGTACCCTACCTAGAAGCACTAGGCTCCTCAGAAAAGTGTTTGGGGAGAACAGCTCAGTGCTGCACTATTAATTTTAGGCATGACTGATGGTAACAAGGTGCTTTGCGCATACTGATTTTCAAAGCTAGCTGAGAGCCCTGTTTCAGTTCTGTACCTTGGGGCTCAGGAGCCATCGCAGAAGGCACGTTGTTCTGTGCCTGCCACCCCACGCACCCTGTGATGTGTGCTCCCTGTCTGTGCGGGCAAGCACAATGCCAAGTGCTGGCTCCAAGTGCTGTGTACGTGTGCTTTCAGTTCTGGGAGCTGCTGTTGTCTTCGCATCTGCAGGGAAAGAATGTAGAGGTTACCAGGTTCATCTCTTTTCTCCAGTAACTGTAGGATTAAACTTTCAAACAAAGGGGAAAAGTGAACTATGTTTCCTACAGTGAGTTCTTCCCATATTAATTGTATCAGAAAGGCCTTCTAGGATGTACTTGCACACATGCTCATGGATATGTGCAAACCGGGTTTGCACGTATTTACGCTTTGTATATATACCACAGGCTGTTTAGAAACCTTCTTATGTATCACTATACTCAGACGCTCCCATTCAGTTGCTGAAAATCATTCTTTCTATACACATGCATATGTTATAAGCCCAAGGAGCCTGTAAGAAGTTTTTAAGGGTGTGTGTTCACAGAGAAAATGCCAGGAGCAATATGCTCATGTAAGTACTGAGAGGTTTTAAGCACGCGTAGTTGTGTTGGAGACAAGTGTGTGCACATTTGTATTTTCACGGTTCTTACTTACAGGAAGATTTTTCCAGTACAGACTGTTCTGGGAGGCAGAGAGGGACCTCTGCTCTGTGCACACGGTGATGCTTTGGAGGATCCACTTTCTGACATTTTACAGGCAGCATATATGCAGTGGAGCCACGCAGCGCTGTTTCTACTACCTTACAGTGCTCCTCTATCTGGAACTGAGTTATTTAGTGTAGAGCCTGTAGAATTTACAGAATATTTGATGTAGAATGTCATACATCTAGATGGATTTTAAATTCTAAATTACATTACTTAACAGGTGTTTGGCTAAACTTTCCCTTTTTAAAATGAGATTGAAATTACATATTGTAGATGCATTTGCAGCTGCCTACCGTGTTTCAGCACCACTGCTGCGTAGTACTAATTATTTTCTCAGTGCCACAATTTATTCTCACTGTCCCAGGCTGTGGACAGATATCCCATCCTGGATTTAGTTGTGCCTGGGGAAGAGGTTATCACTCGCAGCCTGTCCTGGCTGCTTTTCATCCTCATCTCCCATCAGAGGCATCCCCTGACCTGCCCTAGTCAGAATAAGTTGGCTAATCTTCCTCACTGTCCCTAATCTGATGTGGGAGAATTTGTATGAGCAGCTCTGCCGGAAGATCTGAGGGGGCAGCAGTGTCCAACAAACAGACCATCAGATGGGAGAATTCTTCTCACACACTCGGTGTTCACACAGGGCAGGCACAAGCAAGGCTCGATCTACAGAACTCACCCACTCAATACATTGAGTCTGGTGAAATGGAGGGAGAGAAAGAACAGAACAACAGTAGAGTGATGTGGCAGTTATGGAGTCCAGCACTAGGATTGATGATTGTACTGATTTCGTCAGGAGCTGAGGATTCCTCAGAGGAGCCTAAGAGCTTCAGCAATGAATAAAGAAAAAGCTATCTGAGAATCATAGGTTGAATCTTGTGGAGGTTTTCTTAGGAAACAGCAAAAACCCAGCAGACTGAGGTGCTGAAATCAGATCTTGGCAAATGTTGTGAAAAAGAAAATTATTTGCAGGAACCTAGTGAGACACAGATTTAAGAGATACAGGCTTTGTTCTCTCTCTTTCCTTCCCATCGAGACAATGAGCCACCTGATGCAGTCCCAGCTGAGCAGTTGTGTGGGCTGTTCCTGTCAGATGTGTCTACTCCTGCATATGGTGTATTGGATCTTCCATAATACTCAGCTACGTGTTCCAGTTTTTCCTGATGTTAACAAAATTTCTCTTTTGCATTAGGGATTAAGCATGATCTAGAGCTCCTAATATCCAGGACCTGTTTAATGATGCTGATAATGAATGGCAGTTTTTCGCATGAAACGTCCTGAAGTGTTCCAGAATCTACAAGTCCTAGTTAGAACTGAATTGAGCCTAGTTTGTGTTCTAGGGCTGTGTTTTTGGGCAGGGTGGAGCTTCAGAGACTCTAATGTCCTTGCAGAAGCTGTCACCCCAGTGAAGTGGAAGCAGGAGGTCATTTTAGGAGAGAGGGGAAAGGAACCTCCAGAGCGTGGTGAATTACTCACACGTTGGTGAAGCGGTGTGCTGCAGGCATGTAAGGCCAGGGCTGCCTAAATTCAGTCGATCTATGCTAGATGCATGGGTTCAGCTCTCTTAAGGTTGTCATGTGTACTTCTGCCCTGACTGATACATACAACTTAAAACCTGGTTCTTTGTGTTTCAGCTGTAAGGAATACAAAAATCTGAATTCCTTTTTTGCTATTATTATGGGACTGAGCAATGTGGCTGTGAGCCGTCTCTCGTTAACATGGGAGGTAAGTCTTCATTAAAATCCAATTCCAAGAAGTTTGACTGGAATTTGTGCTTTCAGTTAGCAAAAAAACATGACTTGGGCCTTTATTATTGATAATAATTAGATCTACTAATTCAGCTCCTTTAGCTTAGGCTGACAATTTTTATTAGTAAGACAGTATGCCCGTAGGTGTGTTAAATACTCAAGCAGTTCATAAGAGTGACAACAGCAGCTTCTGCAGATGCGCCAAACTGCCCAACAGGATGAGCAAGTTAGCCAGTTAACCTCTCAGATCAGCCCATCCTCTGACTCATTCAGTGAGATCACTCCATAGATACTTCTCTAAAATCCATCCCCTGTTTATACATAGTATTTTCTGATCTCCATATGGAATCTATTGCCCTATTAAAATGTGGGTTTGTCCTAATCAGGTCTCGTTTTTTTCTCTGACATTCCCCTGCTTACTGTCAGTTGAGTCTTCATTCTCAGAGCTTCCACCTTTTTCTGTGGCTTTGCTCTTTTGTATGTAAGTATATAAGAAGGGTGAAACGTCCATCAGGATGAGATAGTAAGCACATGTAACCACTAAGAACATGGTGGTTGTCCAAAGCAGTGCAGGTCTGAATGTGCACGTATTTTGTTCATTAGAGATTCAAAATCATGACTGAGGTCATTGATGCAACTGAGACCCCAAAATGTGATCACCTTTTGAAAAGTGCACTGAAATGGAAGATCAGACTTACACATCTGAGAAGACACCAGCCTAGTTTATAATAGCACATGTTGCAAGTGGCATGCAGAATCAGTGCTAAAGGCCAGGATTTGCAAATCAGTTTCTCAAAATAATGGCCATTTGTGACTACTGAGAGGAGCAGTTGGGAGATCTGAGTTAGTACAGGAGTAGTATGAAGAGAGAAGAGAGAATTTAATGTATATACTACATACAACGATCTGAAGTGGTTGCAGGGTCTGCGCTGGAGTGGCACAGATCATTTGTAGGTGTGGGGTATGAAATGTTACCACGCTGTGGTTATGTAGGGTACTCAGTTCATCAAGAGAATCTCTTCAGCTTGATTTTTAGCCAGATAGATATACAGACTATACTTAAAAACAAACATATCAAGACCTGATTTTTGTTATATTATCATGCATTTACAGTAGTTGCATGCACAAATTAGATATTTGCAGGTGCAAATGTCCAATTATACCACTTATTTCAGAAATACCTAATCTGCATGCATATGCAAACTAGGCACACAGTTGTTGACACACATCATTAAAAATTAGGCCCTTGCTGTGGCACAGTGTAAATAGCTTGCTAGGGTACACACTCCAAATGTAGAAAGTAGTGCAAAAAATCATTTCTGTGCTATAAAGTCTCTATTAATTTTTAGTGTTACCCGCTGCCAGTAATAGTCAGATTTAATCAGCAAATATAGAGAAATTTCTTATTAAAACTAGAAAGCTGACATAGTCTGGGTGTGGATAAAACATTACTGTGATCTCCGAAACTAATTCGTAACGTATCTTATAATCTTCATAGTAGAATTATTTAATACTTATAACACAACACGATAGGGAAAGAAAATATGTAGTAAAGCCAATCTCATCCTAATCACTGCATGATCAACTGACCATGAGTAATTTGCATAGGTATTGTGGACTGAAAAACTGTTAATTAATTTATACCCCAGAAGGCAGCTGGCAGCTGGGCATGTCAAGAACTTAAGCAATAGTTGATGATACATCAGCATGACCAAAAAAGTCTCCTGGAAATGCCCAGGCATGAATTTGAATGTTGCAAGGGCAGTTCATCATAGGTATGAATAATTAAGCTGAGCTACCCCTACGTAAGCTGTGTGTAATTTATGTTTTCAGATAGGCTATAATCAGTAATGTCCTGAAACCACTGACTTGAACTTTCATGTGCATTCTGAATTCAGTGATTGCGATGTGTGCCAAACAAAAATCTGAATCTGAACATCCCAAAGGAGTAAATTCAAGTTGGGGTTTAAATCAAGATCCAGGTTTCATGGCTGGTCCTGTCTCTATTTATAATCTGGTTGCTAGGAAACGTGTTGTATTTTAGATTAGCACATTGTTAGAAATATCTGGCAAAAAGAGCTCTTTCCTGACTTAGGGTGTTGTAGAAGGAACTAGAATTTACAGTAAAATTATCACACAAATTGGATTTAATTAAGGTTTTCTATTTTTGTTTTTATTAACAGAAACTTCCAAGCAAGTTCAAGAAGATCTATGCAGAGTTTGAAAGCTTAATGGTGAATAGCAATGGATCCCTTATTCTATGCACAATCTGAGCTAATTCAGTTTCTGAGTAACTGATTTGAATTCCTTGATTCAGAACATTTTATATGTCCTTGTTTGACTTTAAGAAGTTTATGATCCCATTTTAGAGCTGCTAAAACAAGTATGTATGACTAATAAATTATACTCTTAGGAACCTACTCTGTGAGAACTTATGTACCACTCAAAGTTAATCTGGGAACTCAGAAAAGCTTTATCACATGTTTGCCAATAGTACATATGGGAAATTATATTTTCCAACCTGGATTTTTCCAGGCATTACGTTTTAGTGTTACAACATAAGCAAAACTGGATCTGCAACTGCAAGGAGGGAAGAGAAATGTGTGGTTCCTCTTATGAACATTTTTTTGTAGTCATACCTTACCTTGCTATTCGGCATGAAAAATGTTTGTGTTTAGTGGCTGTGTTCTCATCATTAAGTTCTATGGGAGACTGATGAAAGACATCTGAGTTTGCAGATACACTTTTAAAGCCACAGGAGAAAATAATGATTTTAATAAATGCCATGACATCTAAATGAATGCATACAGTGTCTTGATACTATAATAATACATATTAGTAATTATTTGATTTCTCTTTTTTCTTAAGGATCCATCAAGAAACCATAGGGCCTACAGGCTAACTGTAGCTAAATTGGACCCTCCAATAATTCCTTTCATGCCACTACTTATGAAAGGTAGGCTTGGATGTTACCAGAATTATTAACTTGAAAGCTATTTGTCAAATATTTGAAGAATAAGAGTAGCAGCAAAAAAAAAGCAAAAATCAATCTCAGTGTGAGGTATGATCTTTTTCCATTATAAAAAGCATGGCACAGAGACAAGAAAAACTGCTTTAGTACATCTGAATATCATACCTCAATTTTACTAGTCTCAGAAATGCTGCAAATTAAAAACTAAATGTTTTATAGTTGCTTTGATTTTTCTAAGGGATAGATAAAATGTTCTGCTGTTTTGTATGATCATGATTCAGTAACGGGCTTTTATGTGGCTTTTATTTCTATCCAGACATGACGTTCACTCATGAGGGAAACAAGACATTCGCTGACAATCTAGTAAACTTCGAAAAAATGGTATGTATGCCACACTTTGAATGAAAGACCTCCCTATTCATCTCTTCAAGAGGGAACTTCTCAACAATGATTTCCAGGGTTAGAGAAAGTGAAGGCAGGACCAAGAGCTGGCAAAAATAGTCTGTGTTGTGCACAGCGCCTGGGACCTCTGGGTTTCTGGAAAACCTCACAGAGGTGGAGAAGAAACTGCCCACTGGGCCATTCATAGCCAAAATGTTTCCTAGGAGAGGCAGCAGCAGTAACAGGAAGCAGAGCTGCTAGAGACAGTTTTTAACAGCCATTTTGGGACCAAGCTCAGATTTTAACTGCTGTTTCTTCAAACTGGACTGAGCTGCCTCAGGCGGGGATAATTCTGCATTGCTCCTCAGAGAATGAAAGCAGCTTTAATACAAAACTTGCACATCATCTTGTTTTCTTCTTTCCTTTAACAGTGAAAGAAAACTTTGGTGATTTGATTGCTTTCATATTGGTAAGGGGGGATCGATAATAGAGGGTTAGACTATGGTCAATCTGATTTATTTTAAATCCTGCACCTAAGCTCCCATAATTTGAAATGCTGCTGTCAAACGCTGCAGGCAGGCAACTTCCCATGGCAGAAATCTCAACTGAAACTCAAGTTTTTTAGCAGTGAGAAGCCTTTTCTTTTGATTGTTAAGGTCATGCTCTTAATTAATGTGGTTAATGACACCTACATCTGAGAACCAGGGTTAGCCAAGCCCATCTATGAGCAGCTGCACTGCGAAACCAAAACTGACTTAGTGTTCTGGCAGTAAAGTTCCATTCAGGAGCTGGAGCAGATCTACTCTGGCACCTATATCTGCTTATTCTTAGTACTACAGTACCCAGAACCACTCCATGGTTATTTCCACAGCATTGCAGAGGATTTTGTCTTACTTTCTGAGCACTGGTACTGAGGGGGGGGGGGGGGGGGGGCAGGGAAGGAGGACTTTCAGGTGTTCAGAAAAATTTACAGAAAAGTCATTGTCACTCTGAGTGAATTCTTCTCTTGGATTTTACTCTATAGCTCCAGAACAGCCTCTGTCCTAGGGTGAAAATACCTGTCTACTAGGATGAGACTCTTTTGTGAGTAAATGGAAGTACTAATGCCTGAGTAAGGGCCTGACCTCAGTTTGCAATAATAACATTCCCTAATTGCATACTCAGACTGTGTTGCCATCTCCTTCCACAGGCCGTGAGCCTTCTACCTGCAGAAAGGATTTTTTCCTGGACTCCCTATTCTAATTAGATAGATAGATATATATACGTATTAGTGTAAGCAGTAAATATTTTGGGGAACACGAAGGGATCTCAGACTTGGTTGGAGCACCTCCAGACTGGGAGGGAAGGCAGATGCATTGCTATAGCTATGGCTGTGTGGCTGGCTCGATGTTGTCCACCTCACCTCCTCACCTGGCCTACTTAACATCTCCTGAGCCAGAAGAGCCGGTACTTCAGCAGCCACAGAGCTGTATGCCTCAGGCTGTTCTTTATGCCTGATATGTGTAAAAGCTATTACAGGAGGCAGGAGCTCTCCTGTGAATACTTGCCCATAGACAGAAGTTCAACCCAGGCTTGTCATTTAGAAATGGTTCTGCACCACTCTGTACTACAACTTGGCACTCCAAAGGCCAGGAGTGAACTTTATAGCAGCTTAAACAGATCTATAGCTAGGCTGCAGCAGGTCTGCCCTCTTCACCCTAGTCTGCGCATTGCCTTATCTTCTATGTGTTATCTGTAGAACGTGGATTTACTGCTAGCACCCAGAAGTTTTAAATAAAGTTGCATACTGCATGAAGGTAATAGCACCCATTTTGATTAATAATCTGAGCTTTGAGCATGTCCTTTAGGAGAGGTAAGTGAAGACTGATTAATGTATTTTTGATGCTATACATTTTTCAATGAATCAATATAATGTCTTATGTTCCTCCACACAACAGAAAGGGAAATGTTCTCCTTTCTCAGTATTCTAAACCTTTCTTCAGTTAGTGGTCTACCTAAAAGCCCACTCTGCTTTTTCTCCAGGCCTTACTACAAGTATATCTTTTGCCTTTTTAATGTCCTTCATTAGCTATTCTGCATGCTTCTATGTTTTTTACTGCTTCGCTCAACCCATAGCTCTTCAAAGCAACATATATTCAGATTCCACCCACATAATGCATTCAAATCCTGATGTGGACCTGGCAGTTTTTAGCTTTTTTGCATGTGTCATCAGGTCAAGGAAAGAAGAAAAGCCTACTGTTAAACCTCAGTTGCTACCGCCTACTTGTGTTAAGCTTACAACTGTCATATCCACACATAATTGCCAGATATTAACTGGTGAAGACAAGACCACTCAGCCAGATACCTCTCAGATAAGTTCAGCTTTCTTTTACATAAGTATAAACTCAAGGTAAATCTGTGATGTTATTCTGCTATTCTGTTATTTCAGGAGAAATGCAGAAACCAGTTTTCCTCACAGGAATCAAGTCCTGCCATTTGTTTTCTGCCTGTTTGCTGTGCTGCATGATATTCTGTCAGCACATAGAGGTACTTCTGAATATAGCTGGGAGCCACTCTTACTGATCTGTCTAAAACATATTTGTTCTTTGGAAAATGATTTCCCTTGATCAATCCTAACTTTGATGCTTGCTGAAGCTTACGAATAAAAATATCTGGGTAGCTGCCACTGCTGGTGCCACTTGCCACCAGAGGAGTTGGGTCCCCCCGACTCTCATGTAAGCAGTGATGAAACAGAGAACAGCCTCTGGCATCATGTCTGCATTCTCACCACAGAGCTCTGATCCCGACAGCTGATGTGCTGCTGACAACTTTATTCCTGTAACTGGCAGCCAAAAGTAGAAGTTTGATCTAGTGGCATCTCTGCAGCTGAAACAGCTTCCTTTAAGTCTTTTATGTTCTCTGAGGTTTCTGTTATTATTTGTATTAAACGATGCATCTTAAAACATGCAGGAGCCCTCAGACAGTGTCTGAGCCAGGAGTTCTCTGAGTGCCAGGAACGGCGAGGCCTTGTTCCCTGAACGTTTGTGTTTCATGGCTGCCTAAGCTCTGCTCAGAGCTCTCCTCGTGGCTGGGGCTTGTGCAGTTTCTTCATGGCTGGGGAATTCTGTGTGAATAGGCTTTTGTCATAACATAGGAACTTGCACTACAGCCTTTTCCCTGAAGGAGACAGGAGAAGGCACTTAGACAATCTTCCTCTTGTTCACAGCCATCTATTTTCACAGAAAATTGGTAGGAGCTTTCTTATGTTTGAAAACTCTGGGTTCTTTTTAAAGATTTGACAAAAATATCTAGAGAAGAAGGGAAAAAGAGACAGATGGTGTTAAATTACATTAGCCTAGGTTTTTTAGCAAGTCAAGCTAAAAAGGAAAGGGACTGAGTCAATTTTTTCCTGTTACACTTTCCTATAAATTAGTCTTTTTCAGGGGTGTAGTGACAGAACTGTGGTGTCAGCAGCAAGGGGGGACATCACTCTGAAGAGCATTGTGGAGCTTTACCTGATGATGCCTTGGATGCTCCTTCCTCCCCTTCCCTATCTCCTGATCTCCATGGAGTCTCTTACTTGGATGAGGCTGTGAGGAGTGGGAGGGCAGGGACAGCTAGCCAGGGGAGAGAATAGTGTGTGTATGGTACAGCCACAACTGTGTGTAAATAGGGAAGTTTGTAAGCGAACCCGTTTGGTCTGTGCAAGATGTGCGAAAACAATATTGAACATGTCAGAAATAGGTGTGCTGTTTGTATTTGCACTGTACTTGTGCTCTTTACTATGCCATTTATTGCATGAGGCAAGGGGGGAGAAGAGAAGAGTTGGAGAAAACAAGCATTGGGCCTTAAAATCAGCCTGGAACATGTTATTTATACTTTTGTCACTAAGTTGACATTACTGGTATTAGTAATACAAGTCTTTAGTAAAAGGTTTTGTCTTCAATACCAAACAAGACATGGTTTTAGAGAAGTACTGAAGGTCTTAACTCACTGTGTCCTGGTGGCACCCTGTAAGAAGCTAATGGAGATAAGGTACAAGCTGTTTCCACAGCAGCGCTGCTCAGATGTACCTTCTATGCTGGCATATGCTCTGTGACCTTACGTAGTAAAAACTACCTTCATCTTTTCTCCACTTATGAGTTGACAGTCAATGTTGGTTGTAGGTGCTGCCTTAGAAGACCCATCTGTGTAAAAACTGAAGACATGATTGTCACAGAGGAACAAGGAATGAATAGGCTTCTAAAGTTTTAAAAAAGCTGTAGTTGTAGTTTTGCCAGCTGAGGACATTTTGAGAGCTGCAAATAGGTGAAAGATTAAAAGATGGCAGTAGACAGCAAACGCAGTTTATGATCTAAAATACATATTTGTCTTTTAGGTCCACTAATGACCCTCTTTTCAGGTGAAGGACAGCCCCCAGATCTGCCAGTGGTATTAGTTCCTATGCGTATAATTTAGCAGCTAAGGGACAAACTACAACCTGCAGTGGAGTACATGGCAACATTCAAGTAACACTGCTTTTATAGCTATATATTTAGAAGAAAATTTCAAAGCCTTTTCCTAGAATTATGTCTTGCCAGGGAAAGAGGAGAGAGGAAAGTGAGGAAAGCACTGAGTATGAATCTCTTTAAGAACACACGAAAGAGCTCTGAAAGTGCTGACCTGCCATAGCAGCACAAGGCAGTGCCATGATGCTGGCCACTGATACTTCTTTTTGTGAAGCCTCTTCACCCTTCAGGTGTGAAATGAGGATTAGAGAATTGGCACATACTGGTTTTCAGGTTTTGTGGATATGAACAAAAGGGAATTCACACTCTGATCCTTATGCAAAAAAAGGGCAAACATTCTTTCATTTTTGGAACATAAAGATTATGCAAAAAGTGTGTGACTAAAGCCCTTACTAGTTTTCTATGGCATATATGAATATTTATAACATTTAGAAACCTGGGTTTGGAATGGATTAGAAGATAATGTGCAGGCCTGCTGCCACTATTCCAAACTGCGTAAAACTTGAAAGTGTATTGTTGTGTATACATAGAATGCTGGTAGTAGTGGTTGCTTGTCATATTGTGCAATTGGTTCTATTTCAGAAAAATCCAAATTGAAGTTTGTATGGATTTTCCAGAATGGTCTTTCTTTGCACAGTGAGTAAGCAGAGGTTAACTTTTGCAGGCACTAACTAGAGGTAATCCCCTATTTAAAGAAAAAATTTAAGGAGCTGGCAATTAAACTTCCATCTGAACATTTTCTCTGTACATGTTTCTAGTTTTCTTGAATTAAATCCAACTTATCTACAAGATTCAGGAAGGAAAATTCACTTTCAGTTCATGTTTTTATGTGCACCTACCAAAGAGGAGTGCTTTTGAGTTTATATTAGACAATACAACAGCAGCTGGAAAAAAAGGAATGTGAAAGGAGCTTTTCAAGGGTACGTAATACTCCAGAATCTCCTCACTGGGTTGTAACTCTGTCTTCTGGTCACAGATTCTCCTTTTATTCTGCCTTAACATCCAGTTCCTTATTCCTTTGTGATTCTTCATTGCCAGGATACTGCAAAATGTACAGACTGAATGACAGTATCCTGAAGAATAAGCAAAGCTCTTAAAAATGAATCCTTTCAGCCAGCGGAAGGAAACCAGGCAGTTCAGCCTCTAAACAGAAGTCAGACAAAATCGTGGCCACTTTGGTTTCCTTTGCCTGGAAGAGCCCATATGAAGAGAAATTTGGAAATAGTGAAAACTTTTTAAAAACCTTTGCTACACTCATACTTTGTCTTTCCGTACAATACAGCATTACAGTACTTATTCCAAATGTTATGCTTGTTTACAGAACCAATTCCCCACATAAATAAAAAGAGTAAAAAGATTCCACAGAACACACTTTTTTGATAAATCTAAATTTACACTTAAGCAGCTTAACACTAAGCTAATCAAACACTGAGCCTACAGCCTAGCTCCAAATTTCATCATGAAATGAGGCTGCAAAACATAAACAGTTACAAGTGTGAAAACTTAGGGTGTGTATTAACAGTCCATCTAGAGGGCACATCAAACAACACTAGCTATCTTCATAAAAATTAAGTGTCCTTAGGAAAGCTTCTCTTGGCGTTAGATGCTCTTGAAACTTCATCATGTTGGCTGGTCCGGTTCAACTTTACGGTCTCTCCTTGTAGTTATTTTAGGGGAGTACTTTTTGAAATGGTGTAAATCAAAATAGCAGCATCACATAACACAGCTAAATGTGAAACCGTAAGAGTTATGAAGCATTCATGTTTACATGTTCATGTTGTTTTGATTTTCATTTGATTGGGTTACACTTGAATAACTAACACTGTAATATGCAGTGCGTTCTGTCTCAATCCGATACTATAATGGGTGCTTATCCTTGAGTATTTAAGAGGTTCTATTGAAGTCAATGGGGCTTATTCACATGCTTAATGCTAAGCACATATGAGAACGTTTGCAAGGGGAGTGCCTCAGAAAACCTGCCTAGTAGTAATGGCTTGAAGAGGTATAAAAATTAACATAGGATAAAAATTACCCTGACATGAAATCTACTTATTTTTCACATCTAAATACATATGACTTTAGAAAGAATATAAGCAGATGCATATACAAATTCCCTAGATCTTTTGGGAACTTGTGTTTTAGAATTAAAATACTTTAGATCAGTTTCAGAATAGTTGCAATTCATTTGATTATGCAATGTGTAATCCACAAAAATTTGGCACATGATATATCACTAGTGTTTTTAATGCAAACCACCAGCCATATCCATTTTTGTATGCTTGTCAGCACATTAAAATGTCTAGATTATTCAGTGTGTGTTAAGGAACATTTTACATTGGTGATTCCCCCTTCTGGAATGACAGATTTCACAAAGGCATTTTATTTATAACATCATTTTAATGTCAGATCATAATAGTGTGCTAATTCTGGGGAGCAAGAGTGTGCTGTGTTAAAAGATGTAGCTGTGTTTTAATTGTTGGACCATGTTAAAGTGCTGGAACAAACATTAGACTCTAATTAGGAATAGCATTGTAGTTCTCTGCTTTTTCTTAATCTAAGCAAAAGAAACCAAAACAAATGTTGCCCTTATAACAGTGATTGACTCAAGCTATCTAGCTAAGGGATTCAGTTTTACTGCTGAAGTTTCAGTTTATTTGATATTACGCAGAACAACTAAGTTTGCTCCCACACTGGTGGGAGTATTACCTGTGTGGTGCTAATCACACAACCCAGTTACAATTTTGCAGTCCAGAACTAAATCTGAAATGTTTGGCTTTATTACTTACTTCATTTCTGTTCTTTAAAACTATTGTAAAATAGCATCTGATTTATTGGAGTGAAATGTATTAATGAGTATTTTCTTAGCAGAGTGAAATAATGGCTTATTTACTGAAGGGAAAGCACAGCCAAGAAGGACTGAAGTTACTTCTACTTTTTTTGTGAATTGCTAGTAGAGGTGTCCACCAAAAGTGAATCCCCTTTCATGTTGGGTTAGATACACTTGTGCAAGCGAGCACTGTCTGACAGTTCTGTTTGATGAAACTTGCCTACATGACCACAGTTCTAATGGTGGCCTTCTCACCTGTGAATTGAGCACGCTTTCAGAGGGAATCAGTGAACATGCACTCTCACATGCTGATTTTACACTGTCATTTTTTGGGAAGGCTGCATTTTAAACTCAAATTCATATGAAAGGTGAATGTTCTTCGACTGCTGAATATGTTATAGAAATGGCCTTGCTGTTAGGAACTGATGGTCTTAAAATTAACGCGTGTCTATTCCAAGCTGTTCTACATGATGTTCCTTTTACTTCTGAATGTGAGATGTTATCAAAGAAATGCACATTGAAGAGTCTGATTTTCATTCTTAGTTCAGGCCTTTTACAGCATCCAAGTAAGGGTAAGGGTTCTCTGAGCACATGTAAATTACACTCACGCTTATTTAAAGCCTGTGTAAATGCAAATCACACCCTACACATGAGAGTATCAGCATTAAAATTATATTTTCATTCATATGACTGCTTTTATTGGCATATGTCTTCACACTGAGGCACAGTTAGGTGCTTCGTTTAAATGATGATGAAATACAGTGCTTGTTCCCTGATTGCATCCCATCTTTTCTTTCCAGCGCATGATTGCCAACACTGTCAGGACGGTGAAATTCTGCCGAAGCCAAGCTTTCAGTAAGTGTATTACAACATCTGCACAGTCAGCGTTATCATCAGTAGCTACAGTAATTACAGCTAATTCTGTGTGTACCAGAATTGAAAAGCCTGGTTTTCAGTGATTCTTCCCTGTTTGGATTCTTCGATGCTTCGCAGGGTGAAATATCCTTCAAGAAACTAATAAGCTCCTTTTCCTCCACTCTTCCCAAGCATGTGAAGGAGCTAAGCATCAGTGAGGTCTCTACACATCTGTCAAGTTAGAATTTGTTGAAATAAGCCACTGGGTTCAGAAGTGGTTGAAATCAAGCTAGCAGACAGCAGCACACAGATACATGCAAGATACTTGCTTGGATAAACCCTGTTTTTATAGGAAACTAATCCGGAAACATGACGTTTATAGGTGACATAACTGCGTCAGGTGGTGAGCTTAAAACCTGTTCGTCAGCATAATTAGCAGAACTTACTTGAGGCCATGAAAGATGACAGAGCTGCATGGTCAAACAGGATTGCTCTGTGGGTCTCATCTCATCTAGGTGCACTGCCTGTGCCTGTCACACTGGCATTTCCTCAGCACTTCACTCATTTTGCTACACAGCAGTGTTCCTTTTCCTCAAAGAACAGAAGAAATAATATAAAACAATATGTTATTATAAAAATAGTTTATTTCTGTCTGGATCAAAGCTTAACTCTGGAAGATCGGGATAAGGGAGCTTTTTAATTTTTTCTCCCACTATTGAAGTTTTTCTAGCTATGTATCTTTTAATTTTAATGTGCTAAGCACTAGTGAGACCTCCACATATTTAGAAGTGGAAGTGGATTTTCACTATACATGATACAACAAAATGTCAGTATATAGATGTACCGTATCTAAGTCCCATGCTTTTTGTGTGTGTATTTATACATAGTAGATGCTTCAGTATCTTTCTTTTAGAGAAGTTTAAGTTACCTAACACATATTCTGTTGAATTGCAAGCTGTTCACTGTGAGGCTGAAGATACTCAGATTTTAACTCAGTGGTATTTCATAATTGTTGGAGTAGATATAATGAGGTTATGTTAAATAAGGTAAGCTTGAATGGGGCAGTCACAAAGCACTGCAGTGTTACAGATATTTAATGCTGAGTTAGAAATGGGAATATTTCCTGAAAGGAGGCTTAAATCAGTCATAGAGTTCTGAGTCCGTGTGAAAGCTGCTGGTTCAAAACCAGATGGGCAGCTTTAAATCATACTAGTTAGCTATATAATTTATAGCAATTGACTGGTAAGGTGATGTATAAAACTGTAACCAAGAGCCATCAATCTGGGGACATGTAGCCAAGTATATCTGAGAGAAAAAGTTAATTTGTGTGGGTAGGAACCAGAAAGACACTCAGCCATGGAGGAAAGGCTTCAAAGAGAGCGATTCCTAAATATTTTCTTTTTAACTCACCAGGATCTGGTGTTTCCTGTGACAGCTTGTAAAGAGTTACTGCATTCTGTTCAGGCATTTGTTCATTTAAGTGTATCAATCCTACATCATTTCTCTTTCACCAGATCCCGACGCAGCCCTAACTAATAAGAACCATCAGGATGTTCGGAGCTATGTGCGGCAATTAAATGTGATTGACAACCAGAGAACTTTATCACAGATGTCTCACCGACTAGAACCGCGTCGAGCATAAACATTTGAAGCCGTGATGAGAAATGATCTTTTATCCTGTCAAGGTCACTTGTTAAGAACTTCACTTTCTCTGCTACCCCACTGCCACTACAAAAATAAGCAAAAACATATTCTAAGGTCTTAGGCAACGCACAATGTACCAGCCTGCCAGAGAACTTTGGCTGAGGAAGAATATATGCACTATAGCTGCACAGGTGGCCGTGTTGTGAACCGTTAATTCATTTTATAGTAAATGATTTCTCACATGGATAAAAAAGGCAAAGGATAAAATAGAACAGTTAGCGAAAAATGTGCAAAAAGCTTGTAACAATCCTAAGGGAAGTAGCATTTTTCTGCCTAATTAAACATCTGTATTTTATGATTTATTCTCCAGGTCAGGACCAAAACTAATCACCGGTTTAGCTTGCCCAGCTACTGTTGACCTCAGTAGAAGATGCATGTAGACATCTGATGTAAGAATGTAGGTTCAAGAGACGTCCAAGGTATAATAAGTTCAATTCAGAGAAGACTTAAGAAGTATTGCCATTTGAAATATAACAGATACTAAGAAAAATTTCTAACCTTAAGTGTACTGCCTACTACTGTGAGCAGTGTGGCCATTTCAGAGAACTGACAGGACTGAAAACACTTCGAATGACGAGTAGATTAACCTGTGTTTACATTTTACTTCTTTTTTTAAACTACCAGTCAGTTTTTTACAGAATTCCATTACAATAGTAAGGCTGTCAAAATCATAGCGTAAAGGTAGCAAAGGACTGGTTCAAAAAGAGCACAATATGCACAAACAGATTTCAAGAGAATAATTTCCTGGACATTAAAACCTTAAACTTTAGCTATCATTAATTGTGGCTGGTTAACACATATTTTCTGGTCTTGAGCATTTACAAATATCTTCATTTTCAGCCAATTGTTTTGCACTTTCAATAGACTGTAAATAAATGTTGATTCGTTCTGTTCTACAATATTTATTTATGTAATAGCAGTTGTGCCAAAATAAGTGTTTTATTTATTTAGTTTAGCATGTTAACGAGAGTGATGCTTTTGTCACTCTTTTTGTGTGCATTTTATGTGTAGGAATTGTGTGATGTACGTTCACCGTAAATAACATGCAGTACTTCATTAAATGGAATTGCTGGAAAGGTCTCGTCACTGGCCTTATTTGCACTTTCAGCTTCACTCCTGCATAAATACTGATGCTGTTAATTGGCTGATAAAGCAAACTGCGCTTGTCATTTGCTGGGCCTTGAAACTGCAGTTAGACAATGACCATTGTGATACAGGTGACCAGTTTAAAGCCAGTCAGATCCATCCCTGCCACACGGGATGACGGGCTTGCAACCAATAAAACCAAACACTATGGTTTTATTAGCTGGTTTGTTTAGAGTTTCTAAGAAGGCTCCTACCATCCCATGTAAACATAGAAAACATTTAAATTGGAAAGGTTAAAATGAAGAAGGGATGTATTCTTCATTTTAGCTATCTGACTAATTTGTCCTGCTCAGTCACTAATTAAGAGGACTACAAGTTACCTTTTGTTGGACAGCATTTTACCTCAGGTAGGCTAACTCAAGGTGAGACCTAGGCTAACGGGGCACTTAAGAGGCCTCTGGCTTCAGTCACCTCAGGGAGGTCTATCAGGTCCTGCAGCCTTGAGGAAAGAGGTGATCTGGCATGTAGCCTTTCCTCGCCAAGATCATTTGTGCCAGCCTGATCACTCCATGGGAGTACTGTGCTGCTGCTGGGCAAGAACTGACAGGGCCAAGCATGTGCCAATGAAATGATGATGTTCAAATGGCAAAAGTCTTCCCTGCTGCATTTACACCGGCTCTGCTCTGCGAAGCCAGATGTCATAAAGCTGGTTAAGCCTGAAATTGGAAGTGTCACCTATTATCTCATGATAAAGCTTCAGCGATGACCTCGTTGATATAGTGTACATTTCACGTCAGACACAGTGTACACTTTTCTTGGCACTGGCCAGGACTGAGTGGAGTCAGTATACACATAAAGATTTTCTTTTTTTATCTGCACAAATAATCACATCCTTTTAGTCAAAACATAAATTCTGCTAAAGCTGAGTGTCACCAGGGAAATGCTGACACATAGAACCACTATCTGCTCAGTACCTGCCATCTGCAAAGGAAAGAATTACACAGTTAAGAAACATTCTTCAGCATGATGAAATAATTTATTTTAACTTTGCTGTCTGACTAGAAGTTCAGGATGATTCAGAGGATAACCAGCTAATAACATAGAGACAAATTTGTGTCTTGTTATTTCAAGTGAGAAATTGTTCCGTTTGTACTGCTTTATGAATATACTTCATACGGCTTTTTCAGATACGGGATCTTCCCAGAAGCAAAGTATGCAGTCAAATAAACTATAGGGACACAATTAATTCAAAAGATGTTTTTATCTTTACTTTCAATTTATAACATTTGTGAGGTCATGATTTTATTTGCTCCAGATTTGTTCCTATTGTTTGGACTTTCATTTATTTCTATGTTAACTGGTTTATAAAGCTGCCAAGTTTCAGCTTGGCTCTGCACAGAGACCGATTCTTCATCTGTTTAGTATGTTTTTATCCCCTTGGTTTATTCTTTTATTCCTCAAAACCTCTAACAGTTTTACTTATAAGTTGCCAAATGGTCTTTGTTGTGTAGATACATCCCAGTGATACAGACAGAGGCTTTATGGCACCTCCATATGAACGGATGAATGCAGTTTACCTACTCTATGAAACTGGTATCTGGCATTTTCTAATCTTCCAATAAAGGGTGCTGTATAAGTAACGAGTGTTGCTGTTTCTGTATCTAACTTATTCAAGTGGCTCAGTTGCTGTTGTGCTGATCACAGTCTACATACCTAAAGATTAAATGAATAACTCTACCTACTGGCTCGGGGCTCCAGACTGGGCTTCCCTTGCTCCCCTCATTGACTTTACCGCAGGCAGGCAGCAGTCAATACACTGCTCGTGCTGTGTAAAGTCCCAGCACCTGTTGCAATAGTGTGAAGAATGAATAGGAACTCGGGAAACAAGGAAGTGTCGAAACACCTATGTTGTCCTCATCCTGTGCTGGCAGCTGCAATTCACAGCTTGATCCTGTTTCAGTGAGGAGACACCCCTGGCCTGCTGGCTCTCAGGGCCAGTTGCAAGCTTGGGCTTGGGGTGCTTTGTCAATGCAGCCAAGCAAAAGGGGGTTGGCGATCCGAAGCACTGTGCCACTCATGGTCCTTACTGCTTTAGTTGTAGCATTTGGACTGATGTTGGTCCATGCCAACTAGAATGGCTTGAGAGCACCCAGCCATTATAGAGGGGGAGCATGCACCAGGGATCATTTCCAGTGGGGAATATGGCAAGCCTGTCCAGCCTGTCTCCATCCCCTCCCGCAGTTCTCCAGTGGGACCCATAATGCTTCGCACCTCAATCATGCCCACTTGTATGAACAGCATAAACATTGCAGCACAGCTCCTTCTGTATTTCAACACTGAGGACTGAAAAAAACAGAAACCTGTTCAAAAGGAGAATCATTCCTGATGGTCACAGGTCCTGCAGTGCTGATAGGGCTGGTCTGTGCTATTTGGCCTCAGGCCCCAAAGTCCTGACCCTATTTTACTCACTGGCAGAGTCGCACTGTAGTTTTTATATGAGAGCTGACCAGGAGGCAGTGCCATGATAAACACGCACTGCTGGAGACTGCAGAGCCAGGGTGGGGGCACCTTGGGCTTTTTGGAAAACATTCAGCATTACAGGTGTTCCACTGCTGATGTTCTGTTTGCTCAAGCAGCAGTACAGAGCACAGACACCCCTATTTAGGGATACAGAAGCTCAAGAGTCACAGGGTTCAGCTCTCCCCTGTTCTGGCACTTTTCACTATTGATGCTTTGTTAGGATTTGCTGGTTTTCTCAGTGACCAGGGCCTGTGTTGGCCATCCCTACACAGAACCAGGGAACAAAGGTTAAATCCAGGGAGCTGAATCCAACGTACCAGGAGACTACAACAGTTTGGTAAAGGCAGCATCCAAAGTATTTTCCCAGACACCTTGTTCTAAGCTGATCAGCCACAAAGACATAACAGTGTCAGATGAAAGAGTTCAAATGTGTTTGCGGGACTCTGCAGATGGAGGGTTGAGGTTTTTCCCTGCCAAGGAAAATGCTGTGAAGGTGCACTGCCTCTGCAGACCAGGTACGAAGAGACAAAAAATCCCCTCTTTTCAAGGAGAGACTGGCAAAACAATCTTTTAAGCACAAGGAGTTTAAATACAATTTAGAAATCTGACAAAATAAGTTAGAGAGAAATCAAAAGGTTTAACCTGCAGGGTACCGAAAGAGATAATGAATTTTGGTTTAAGAAAGTGTTTTAACAAAATTATAAGTCTAAATTGTTAGCGTAGCTTCTTAGTAAGGTCAACTGCATAATATACAGTACCTTAACCTCTTCCAGCAATTTTTAAACATCATGCAGCTTAAATAGACTACTTCTGAATTCAGTGGTATTTCTTCTGGGAGCTCTGAATGCAAATCAAGAGGTAATAGTGGAAGAAAATTAAAAGATGTGCTATTCTCATTTCATTTTTTGTACTGATAATAAGGAAAGCAGCATAGAGAGAGATACGGCAAAGTGAACCTCTAACTTGAATAGCTTTTCTTTCACTGTTAATCTGAAATGCATTACACCCTGCCTTTTCAAATAATCATAATGTTCTTTACTGTAGCCTGCATTAAAGTTTAGCAGGCACAAGCAGCCGCTGTCACCAGAGGTCAAGGTATTAGCAATCAAAGAAAATAATGACCAGATTAAAAAGTTAGCATTCAAATTACTAAACCAGAAACTTCCATAGCAGCCTGTCCTCAGAGCCCTGCTTCCTTAGCTGTGCCCAGGGAACCCCCAGCACTCCCAGCAGTACTGTGGGGCTGGCTGGCCCCTGCCTGGGGTGACAGCAGCCGGAGGGGACCGTCATCCCTTTGCCTCTCTTGGGAATGGGCACCGCTGCCCGAAATCAGTTCCCGCAGGAGAGGGAGCTGCATGGCTTGTGGCTAAAACCTGACCTCCAGCTTCTCACCGTGGGGAAAGGCTGTGGTCAGTGTGCTGCAGGAGCACCCAGGGTACATCCTCCATGCATTTACTTACACGACATATAAGACCGGCTCTTACTTCATCTGTGCACTGCTTTAGCAATAAAATACTTATAAATTCACAAAGGAAAGTAATCCAACCACAGCCTTGGCCGTTTATGACTGAAGTGGTGGGGAGACTCCTGTAAAATGGAAGCTTCTTGTTATTAAAAGGGAAAAAAAGAGCATGCCCAGCTACAAAATCTACCACTTACATTTAACTGCTGAAGGATATTTCACAAAGGGTTTGTTTTTAATGGGTCTGGCACTCAAAGGTGATTTCTGAATGCAAAATACTCAGAAAACTACATGAAAATGGATAAAGAATGCATAATTACTGATGCAAATTGGGATATTTTTCTTGGAAACTCCATGTAATAAAAACGTGACACACAGGGGTACTGGTAAAAGACTGACCTTTATTTCCTGGCCCTAATCCATTTGGGTCAGAGTGACAAAAAGCAAAGCCTCTGTCACATGGCAGGGGTCAGCCAGTCGTGTTTAATTTTTTTCTCCCCTTTCTGTTTTCAAATGCAAATAAAGCGTATTACCAATGAAAACAAGGATTGTAAATGAATACTTCAATTAAAGGAAATTTACATAAAGATATGTCGGATAGAGCTGACAGTAGATACTCCAACATCCGAACAGACAATAATCCATTTCTTAATCAACTTCTGTCAATAGTCATAAGCTTTCTGCTCTCCATGGTTTCCTCATTATAGCACCACCTCTTGTGTTTTTAAATAGTTCTTTCTTCAGATGCTGTCCGAGCCAGCAAGTGAATCCGCTGGCTGTATTTGCCGACTCTTTGTGGTTTTTCACAGGTGTACATTATTTCTGCACAGGAGTACTGTTGGCAGCATTGTGGATGTTCTCAGATAACAGAGAGCCAGTGTTGCCTTAGGTTTCCTTTAGATGTCCTCATTCTCTGTAGGACTGACCCTTGAGGGCTGCAGTACTGGCGGGTTGCTGCCTAGAGTCTGTTTGAAATCTAACATTGCCTTCCATTTGTAATTCCTGCCCTAATGTTTCTCCTGTTCCAGTTGTCTGGCATGTAACTCCTTTGTGATGCTCCTGATCAGTTAGCTCTGTTGCCAGGAACTAGTTAGAGGTTTTCACAGATCTATGTTTTTCCCTTCCTGTCACAATTAGCCATTGTTAATAGTGTGCTAGTGTCTGGGGGGTGTTGAGCACCTTTTTGGGGAACACTGGCAAAGGAACTGATATGATACAGCTGATTTATCTAGCTGATTTACCTAGAATACAGCTAATTTATCTAGCTGATTTACCTAGAATACAGCTAATTTATCTAGCTGATTTACCTAGAATACAGCTAATTTGTCTAGCTGATTTACCTAGAAAAAGGGCTTTTCTGAGGCAGTCTATTATTAGGGACATTTTCTAGTCTTAATCTCTAAATCCAAAGAGAAAAAGATGTGATCTTCAACAGATTTGTTTCTAATTAATGTACTCTGAATTAAATAAGTAGCAAAAAAATGTAAGCTACTGATACTATAGTACATCATGAAGAGGAGCTAATATTTTCTTTTCAGTTCAAACTGACTCCTTGTCAATGGTGGATGAAGTTTTCATGATTCCAGTGGCTGCCTTTACTTTCCAATAAAGGTAAATGTGCTTAGAAACTAATTATTTTATACAGAAAATGGTATACAATGCTTTAAACCAGCTGTTGAATATTCTCTGTTGTCATCTTCTGTTGGTGGTCCTCAGAGGTGAAATTGCACCTGCCTCTCCCTGGATTCCCTACAACTGAGCAACCTAATGGAAAAAGATTACAAGGGTAATGAAGGGACTGTGGCTTCAATGGAGCTCGCAGTAGTGCAGATCAGAAAACACAGAGTGGCACAGCTAGAATAAATTCAGTCCAGCTTTAAAACAAAGAAAATAGTGCTAAGCCATACTACACTTTAGAGGAAAGTAGTACCAAAATCAGAACAATGGATGAAGTCTAACTGACCACAAAATTTGCTATAAGGAGTATGAGCTTTCCCTATATAATTAAAAGTATGTAATGAAATAGTAACTGAGAAGAGTACTAGTGAGTGGATCACAGCTGTGTATAATGATCAGCTAAAACTGTGGTGCCAGTAAAAGATAAGAAAACCATTCTTGTAAACCAATCAATATATATATTTCATGTTAATATTTTGCCATTTCATTACTATCTCCTTGTTAATTATATTGACATTTTTGTAGAAGCTGTATGTGCTTTTATACTGCACACATGCCCGATCAAAAGACAAATAGTGTACAAGCTGCAGCCTGTCAGTTCTGAAAACCAACATGCACAAAGCAGGTATTTGATCCACATGTAAGACACCCATTGCACACAAACCTTCTCTGCCACATGAATGCCTGTATTTTATCATTCTAACCTGTATTTAATAATTCTAAATTTTCTATAATAATTGGTTTTATTATATTTTATGTTAAATATGCAATATAGGCAATAGCACAAATTCCTTATTTTTCTCTTTAATAAAAAGAAAAAAGAGAAAAATAGAAAACAGCAGAAAAAAATACCAGTTGTGTGGATCTAAGAGGTGTCTGATGGTTAGCACAGGGTCTGTCTTTCTTCATTCCCCATGAAAGTCAAGAGCCATTACCCACAGCACACCAGCAACTGGGCTGCTGCAGCAAACAAGAATCAGCCCTGGCTGTGGGCATGGGGGCTGCATGTAGTATCAGGTCAGTGTTTGTGGGCGCATGTTAACCATGTTGTTTACAGCAAGAAAGGCAGGATTGCCTCAGAGGCAAATCCAGAGGCAATCCCTTAGATTTTCCACTTGCCATCTCTCAGAAAGTCTAACTGCAGCTTATTTTGGCTGGCAGTACCACGCCACTTGTCTTTTAGTCATGAGGCCAACCCTGCTAGCTGTGTTTTGGGGTGTAACTGCAGAGGTGTGTGATTGCAGCATATCTGAACATACCTGCATGAATTTCAGTCTGTACAGTGCAAGCAAAAACAGGGATGCAGACAGGGGTTTCAGGCGAGCAACTCCTGCGCCTCTCCCAGGCCACAAAACTGATGGTACAAATGGCGTGAAATTAATGCTAACATATTGTTACTGCTAATGCAGCTCAAACTAGCTAGATTAACCCTAGCGTACACTAGTGCTATAACTTCTACAGCAATATGCGCACAACCTTCCTAGTACACCCCAGGCATGCCCCCCACCATGTTTTCTGTCCAATTGTTAAACTAGAAGCAGAGCAAGCCATAGCAGCCAGAGGATCAGAAGTGCTTCAAAGGAACCTCAGCACTAAGCCTGAGCTGAACTCTGAGCCAGTCCTGAAAGAAGATTGAAAAATACGGAGCAGGTGTCCACCTCCAAATTATCCGTGTCTCGAGTTTCACATACAGTTTAAGCTGGCATAACCCACCGCTACTGCTATAAAAGCACTTCCAGGCGCTGTCCTCTCTCAGCTGCTCCTACCAGCCCTTGCCCCTCTCCTGCCTAGTTGCCTGACGACCTGCATTCAGGTCTGGGTGAAAACCGACTGTTTTTCCCTGCAGCGGCCTCACCTCCGCAGCTCCATTCCCTCTGCAAAAGCCGGTGGGCAGCGCAGCAGTAGGAACAGGACTTGCCGGGCAGGGGAGGGGTGTGACTGCTGCTTTTGGCAGGGAGGATGATTTAAAACGCCCGAACGTATACATGGAACTGTATTTTCCATGTTGAAAGGCGGCGAGACGTCACTGCACACCCAGCGTGGCAAGGAGATGTAAAGAGACAATTCACAGGAATCCTTTCAACTCTAAAATTGAGTTAAAAGCTGCTAGAGCTGCCTTTATCCTTTGCCAGTTGTTGTGGCTTTGCACTAACTTTTGTTAGCTTTTAAGTATTTTCTTTTTTTCTCTCTTCCATGTAAACTGAAGAAGCCTGAGATTAGGACTGAGTTCTCCAGAGGTAACTCAGACCTTCTCAGTTTGAATTTCTTGTCCCAAAAAGGGGGAGAAACCATACCACCACATGTTGGTTCATTGTTTTGTATGGTATTGTGACCACCCAAGAAACTTTGGTTTCTCTGCTTTCTGACCTTTTCTAGCTATTTTTTTAGTTTCCATGACAATGGAAAAAAACATTAAAGGATGCAAAGACTCCGTAGCCAGAGGGCAGAAAGAATACAAGCCCAAAAAACACTCTTAAATCCTTGTCGCAATAATTCCATCTTCACAGTGTACCACTGGGGTTGGACAGTCCTTGTGCAGTGTCCTTCGCTTTCGCTCTCTTGCCCTCTAACAGAGCAAGTGCAATTACGCGTTTTGAACAGTGGCATGTTAACACAGTGCATGATGCAGACTCTTCACTCCAGTTCTTGGAGCAGGAAATATTAACCACCCCCTCGTTTCTCATGCACTACTGGAACAGGTTATTTCTTTCTGCAACCAGGGCCTAAAGTCAGACATGATAAATCCCAGCTCTGCACATACACAGCCATGGACAAAATACGTGGATAAAGTGCCCTAGGCAAGAGACCTCTCAATGCAAGCATTCTGCTCTCCTAAGCAAATGCCTATGAATCAAGTGATTTAACCTTTAGGTAGATTTTTAAAACACTTGACTAATTGGCAATTGCCTCGGACAGGAAGGATAAATGCATTTAGTCACACCACTTAAGAGACTGAGTATGTGGCACCTGTCCTCCTCCTGAGCATGAGTTTCACGTGGTTTGCATTGATAGTTGTGCTTTCTTTTAAAACGTGGCTTTGACTGGCTTTGCCTGGAGACCTCTCCAGGCTCACCAGCAGATCAGCGCATAAGAAAGCACAAGCGCTCTCAGACCAGACAGACAGTGCCTGAAAGTGCCATGTCCAGGGGAAGCCAGAGCATGCTGACCTCCTTCGCTGCTTGTCCTGGCAATGCTGGACCTGTCAGGTGGAGGAAGGGGGGAGTCACCACTGCCTGCTTTTTGACTTTCTTAGCATCTTCATGTACCTATTTTACCAAGTGCTTAGATCTCGCTGAACTTTACTCCAGTTATTATGGCTCAGTTGAATATGTCTTATTTTATGGCCAGAAACGTACAATTGTGCTTCACTGTTTCAACGGCTTTTTACCCTCCCTCATGCCAAAATAACACACCTCGGGGAAAAGCCTCTGATGTTTGCAAAATGATTATATTTGATTCATCAGTAAAGTGTTCTTCCATGATTCACCTCGATACTATACATCTTTGTGATGTCCAATTACTGTATATGATTCAGTGTGATGCTGCACAAGTCTTTGTGATTCACTGTGCTAGGCAGCTGATTTTTATATGGCAGATATGCACATACATATAACAATAGTCAAGTATGAGAGATAACGAGGGACCGAGGCTCTCCAGTGAGTGTAAAACCAGCGTTAACAGACACCAGTAGACAAGCTGGGGAGTGCATACGAAAGCAGTGATGGACATTGAATTTTGCATAACACTGATACAAAACATGTACTGTCGCAGCCATGTGATGGTTTGCATTAGCAGAAAAATTGTCTGGTACTGAGTCTTTTGAGTCATTTCCTTTAAGCATGACTGCTTATTTTCAATCTGCAACAGCACAGTATATGCCATTGAAAGATTGGATAAGGAAGGGTCTGTGTGGCTTCAGAGGGTGGAAGTGTGTTGTCTCTCTGTTGAGAACTGAGGAATATGGATGGGGGAGCTTGTACTTGCCAGTCAAGCCATCATGGAATCAGAATGGTTTGGACTGGAAGGGCCTTTAAAGCTTATCAGTTCCAACTCCCCTGCCATGGGCAGGGACACCTTCCACTAGACCAGATTGCTCAAATCCCCATCCAACCTGGCCTTGAACACTGCCAGGAATGGGGCAGCCATAACTTCCCTGGGAAACCTGTGCCAGCAACTCACCACCCTCACAGTAAAGAATGACTTCTTATATCCAACCTAAATCTCCCCTCTTTCAATTTAAAGTCATTATTCCTTATCCTATCACTACGTGCCGTTGTAAAAAGCCCCTCTTCAGCTTTCTTGTAGGCTCACTTTAGGTATTGGCCGGCCTTCTCTTCTCCAGGCTGAACAACCCCAGCTCTCTCAGCCTGTCTTCATAGGAGAGGTGCTCCAGCCCTCTGATCACCTTCGTGGCCTCCTCTGGACTCGCTCCAACAGGGCCACATCCCTTTCGTGTTGAGGATGTGTCTCCAGAAATGGACACAGTACTCCGGGGGGGGTTACAAGAGGAAGCGTTGAGGGCGAGAATCACCTCCCTTGAGGTCATGCTCCTTTTGACGCAGCCCCAAACACTGGCACTTTCAGAGCTGCAGCCATGCCAGTGCAGTACCACGCCACGTCTCTCTCCACCTGCAATGGCAGGGCCTCACTTTGTGAACGGGAAACACCTCAGCTGACAGGTCCTGCTCCGTTCAGAAGTCCCTTCCTAAATCTGGCACAGTTAACTGACATGCAGACACCCTGCCTCAGTCGAAACCATCCCCTCTGGTCAGCCCAAGCTGCCCCAAGCGCCTTCAGCTCACCTCACCTCACACCAGCCCAGCCACAGCAGACGACACCATCGCTGAGAGGTGTGTTGGCCGTGAGGGGCCAAGGTGCCCCATTACTTATCAACGTGTCGGTGACTGGCGGTGGCCACACGGTCTCTCTCGCCAGCCACCCCTGCACCCTGGGCCGCAGCAGAGGCACAGCCTGGGCCGCATCCACACCGGTACCGGCCACCCATCGCCCCTTCGCCCCACACGCCAGGCCCGGCACGTCTCCCCCTGCAGGTGGGGCGGCCACGCTGCCCGCACCCCTGGGGCGGCAGCGGCCTCGCCTCTCCCGCGGGGCCCGGGCAGAGCGCGGGGTGGCGCCGCTGCGAGGAGGCGCGGGGGCGGCGGCGGCTCCGGCTCCAGCTCCACGGCACCAACCGGAAGCGCGGAGGACGGAGCGGGAGACGCGGTCGCGCCGGTTCCAGCCTCCCTCGGCGGCTCCGGGATCGGCGCCGCTCGCGTCCCGCCAGCCCGGAGTCCCTCGGGGAAGGTGAGGAGGGCGACGCGCCCCTCGCCACGCCCGAGCAGGCGGGGGGCAGCGCTGGGGCGGTGGGTGCGCGGTGGGTGCGCGTGTGGCCGGGCGGAGGGAGGCAGCGGGGAGCAGCGCAGCGCGGTCGGGGAGCGGAGCGGGGCAGGGCCGCGGGTGTCCCCACCGCGTTTCGCGTTTCCCACCCGCTGAAGCAACTTTGAAAGTGTTTGGAGGGCAGGCGCTCGCCCGTCCCGCCGCTCGGCCTGACCTTGCGTCGCTCCGCGGGGCAGCCGCGCCCGGCCGGACCCCCCGCGGGAGGCACGGGCGGGGGTCCCGCTGACTACGCCGCTGCGGGACGGGAGACCGGCCGTGCCTCGCCGGGCGGCGCACGGTGGTGCGCGCCGAGGGGCAGCCGGGGCGGTGGCGAGCGGCGGCCCCACGACCGGTGCTGGCTCGGTGTCTGCCGTAGGGTTGGCCGCGGGACGCCGGCGTCTGGCCGGGAGCCGCTGTTCTCGGCCACCCCTCCGCTTCTCAGTCGGTGTTTGAGACGTGCACTTTGAGTGCACCTGCTGCGTTTTTGTGTTCTTTCGGGCGTAAAATCCCTCAGGTTGGGCTTTGAGGCGTATCTTCCCCTCTGTTTTCCTTTCGTTTAGCCCCCCTCCTCATTTTTTATGTAAGCCGCCTTTTTTTTTTTCTTAATATATATATTTTATTTTTCTTTGTTCAAGTTATTTCCTTTCCCCCAGTATGCGCTTTTTATTTAGTGTGTGTGTGAGAGCCATCGGTTACCTCTCTATCCAGCATGCTTTGCTGTGAGTTTTAGCGACAGAGCCATCGGGAAAGCCATGGATCATTACTTTTTTCTAAATTCCAGAAGCAGAAATAATTTGAAAGCACTGGATTAACTGGGTCACTGCCTGAAAACATCATAGCTTTCTGCTGGAGGCATGCGGTTAGATGTTTTCAGGACTTTGCCCTCAAATTGTAAGTCCTCAGAAGCCTACTTGTTTTATCTATCCATAATGTGCTTTGCATACCGGTGGCATTGTGTGAAGAATGGTAACCCTGGAGAGCCTGGCTCCCTGAGGGAGGAGGAGAAGACAGAAACGCCGGCAAAACCGGGTCCTGCAGTTGTGCCCGTGCAAGGATGGAGCGGCTTTATGGGCCAGGGTGTAGGGGTGGCTGCCTCCTCTGTCTTCTGTGTTGTCGGAGGCACGCTCCTGGCAGGCATCACTGGCGAGGTATAATGTAAGCGAAGTGAGCAGTTTAGGGTTTCCCCGAGATAAAATGTTTTCTATTTAAAGTGGAGCCTTTAAACCCTTCAGTCTCTGCCATTGACAGAGCTTGAGTCGAAAATAGTTTGTTTCCTGAAGTACTCAAACTGTTCAGGCTGAGTTGAGCTCTTTTTTTCCGTAGCAATGGTTGTATAAATTCAAATAAAATTAGAAGTGTTATTAATGGAAATTATGCAGAATTTTT